TTCGTTTTCGTTTGATTTTAAAATGCATCTGTTTTGGTATTTATTTACTATATGTATAAGCCCTGGTTGTAGATATTCCTGAAGACTAACTACATTCTACAATATCAACGACGTTATTGTAAGACCTTGTTAACTGTGATCTTGGAACTGGCGGCCAAAGACGCCTAAAATTAATTTGCTAAAATTAATTGTTGAGCTCGCGCCAAATAATAAGAAAAACAGCGAGTTCGTTTTCTTTTCCAGTCCGGAATAGCAAATATTTTATAGGTGTATCGAATTTTTTCAGTCATAATTTAATTTGAGATCTCAAAACCTTGCAAAGCTTGGGATTAAATTCAAACTTTTCAGTGATGCCCGCGAATTGCATGTCACTGAATCACAACACAAGGGTCATTAGCAATTTTATTTATCTATTTATTTATTTATTTATTTATTTATTTATTTATTTATTACGGAGGAGACAATTCAAGGCAAATGTTACTTTTTTCTTCCATTCACCGCACTTCTTAAAGTTGGTGTTCTTTTTCATATCGAATGAATCGATCAATCCATCTCTTAGTTCCTCTTCCGAACCTTCTAGTTCTTCAGTCATCAGACGGGTTTTCAGTTTTCATTCGGTTTCAATTATGCTAAATGAAATACCAGACATCAGACCCAGTGGTCATAGAAATCAGAAATTATGGCTCAGTGAACAAACAAACGGACATGTAAACACAAATTAAAGACAAGAAACCCGCTCGTTTGGGGTGAAATCTTTACTCTACGCGAATCCAATTATGTAGAATTTTTCGTTGGAATCAGAATTAGAAGGTTTGAGCTAGGTCGGTATCATCACTCGCCATATTTAAATTTTTAGTCCATTTTAACATATTCAGTCTATAGTTTCTATCCGTGATTATCTCGTCAAGTATATCACAATTTCCGCTGAAAACCCGTTGAAGCACCTTGTGTTAGGTAAATAATAAAGAGGCAATTAGACAAAAACTAACATCACAAATAAAAGTGTGTCCTTCAGCCAGGTTTCTCATAATGTCTCTGATTTATCACTGGAGTGCTATCAACTTTTCGATATTGCTTCCGATTTTCCTGTCTTCAATTCAGTTATCATGACCACGAAAATAAAACGGCAAGAACCATTTTAAACTCACTTTGCTTTTAAGAACAAACAAATTTTAGACTCAGTTAAAATAGAAGTCTATTCGAATTTTATTATCTATTTAAGCGCTCGGGAATTGAATTCGACCGAATTCGTACAAGGGTCGCTATGCTATTCGCTGACATAATTTTATATTTATGATCTGGTTGTATTTACGAGAGACCCGTGCAAATACAAATCAAAAATATTTCAGTAGTCACGGTATAAAGCCACAATTCTATGCTTTAGTCTGTTTTTAAATATATTTCTTTAATTCAGCTTCGTTCTATTTATTTTTAATGATGTTTTTATTGGCGATTCCTCGAGGGCATATGCATTGCAAAAACGGATCTTCTCAATTAAAGTCGAATTTCAACTCCTTATCTCGTAAACGCAGCAACGAAATCAATGTTATAGTAACTGCCTTCCAGGCTTGTTTTCATTTTCTCCAACACCCCACGTTACTGCAAGCAAAATATCAACCAGAAACTAATTAAGGAAAGTTTGTTTCTGAATTGAAAATAGCTCGAAAATTATTTAAAAAGTTTAAGACTATTAGAATGCCCTTTGGGAAGTACGGAAAATGCTTTTTATTAAGTTACCGGCGTTGAGGCTGAAAGAATAGGTTCTTTTACATAAATGTCCAGGTGATGGAGTAAAAAGCAAACTTCACCTTGGCTAAAAGCTGACTCACTATAATCACTATACCCACCTTTACTAATTAGACGTCTTATCTAGTTTCTCGCTCGATTTCTATCAAAATCAGAAACAGACATTATGGAAATACATAACAGCGCAAAGTATTTGAAAATGTCAAAATAATCGAGGACGGTTAAGAGGGGCGGTGCCCTTCTAAAGCAACAAGCTGGGTTGTTTGTTTATTTTCTCTCATATCTCGCGGTTGCTTCGACCACTGCTTTTTCGCGACAGAAGGATTTAATAGAGAAAAGCTCTGGGATGATTGGCTGGGGAAAGAAATGTCCTGGTCAGGAGTTTTAAAAGCAAGTTAAGCTCAAGAACAGGAAAACTGAAACAAGCTGTACTTGAATTACTTCAACGTAAAGTTTTTTGACTTTTCGTTTGAGATTACTTTAGGTTTAGGACAATCACAAAACCCACACTAGTTACTGGTGGTAAATTAGGAAGAGAAACACCACATCAAGCTCACCGTGTAGTTTTATGACTGGCGTTCGCCTAGATCCAGTACGGCCTTTTCTCAGGCCATCATGGTCGATTCATTTCAGTGACGTATCCGAGACGAGCGGCCGCGACAAAATATCGATGTCGAGGCTTAGGATTCAGGCTAGACCATAACCACACAACTTCTTGCGTTTAACTTATCACGTGCACCACCATTAATTTGCTTTCGTTCTTCACCGAACAAAGTTCTTCAGGTGTGATCATATCAGCCGGTATAAATCGTCACTGTATCGGCTGTCTGTTTCAGTTGTAGGGCGTCCTGTGTGCAGCTATTTGTACCGAGGTTTAATTTAATTTAATTTTAATTTATTGCGCACGACCCCATAAGCTACTGAGCTTTAATCATAGGCGTGTCTTAAATAAAGGTTGTCTGTCTATCTGTCTCTCTCTCTGTCTCTCTCTGTCTCTGTCTCTCTGTCTCTCTGTCTCTGTCTCTGTCTCTCTCTGTCTGTCTATTGAAAATTCCCGAGCTGTGTTTGGTCCTCTTTTTTTCTCAAGACGTCACAGCAGCCATATTGGTATTCCAAAACAATGAAACAGCGGCCATGTTGGTGTACCAAACCAATCAAAGTTGACCTTTTTTCTCATGTAAACCCTTCCTTTTGTTCCAATAAATTTACACGGGTGCTTGCCACGGGAGTGAAAACGCTCTATTAGGAAAATAAATTAAACAAAGCTAAATTTTTTTTAATTAAAATTTTAGGAACTCGTGTGTTGTATGCAGTCAGATGACCCTAGCTTTGTGGACAGTCCCAAGCTATAAACGGATCGATTACCTGCCTTTGCTCCAGTGGAATATTCCTTGAACATTTTTCATTCCTTGAGGGGAAAAAAGTTAAAAACTATAAATTGTGTTTTCGGTTCTGTTTGGTTAGGCCACTGGGAAGATTTCAATTTTTTTTTTTTCGGATTGTTTGGAGCGCCGCCGAGAATTCAAAACAGCTGTAACTCTTCAACACAGTATGAAATTTGTTTTTTCAAGCGAGTATCTGTCAGCGCTTGGTGTAGATCTGTTATCTTTGCTCACAAGACATGTTCGTGAAGTATCAAGTACAATATATATATATATATATAGTTTACACATCATGAATTCATAAAGAGATGGAGGCTGAACGATGTTCTGACACTGTTTTCGGAGCACTGTCCGATCAGGCTTAGAGCTCGATTTGGAGGTGAGATTCACTATCAGTGATCCGACACAAATTGATAATATGCCATGTTTAATGATGTCATGTACCTTAATTTAATACATACACCACATTACACTTTCATTTTGCTTTCGATGACGGAGAATTCGTCATAATCTCCGCTCATGGTGGTGAAGAATGAAAAACAAGGATAAAACCACCTAAAAAGGCGAGCAGAATCTACCAGGAACACAGCCATGCAAGGCAAACAAAGGGCATAATTTAGTGTAGACAGTGTGCATTTTGCATGTGGTGCAATCAGACTGATCTTCAGGCTATTTCTTCAGCACTGGAGATGTTTTAGGATCTTTTAGGTCGACATTCCAACACGGGGGCTTGTTTCACTAATTTTTTAATTGCATTCGTTAGATTCATATCAAAACCCCTATAAGTTACAATAATTTTCAGCCGGGAGTATTACCCTACGCTTGGGGTACCCGTATCTTGTCACGGTTTGTCCCGTTCCGCTGATTGGCCAGAAAAATATTTTTCTGGCCAATCAGCGGGACGGGATTCGAACACTTCTGGAACTGGTTCGGTAAGAATAACTGCCCAGGGGCTTGTCCGCTCTTGAAGTAAACTTTCGCCTGAAAATATCGCTCGCCCGAAAATATCGCATCGTTCCGACTAGTAGTCCCTGGGTCTCCGAGGATGAAGTTTAATAAACATGAGAAGAATTGCAGGCACGGAGTAACTGAAATCTTCGAAAGTTTTTAGGCTCGACTGTGCGAAATATGAATAGCTGACCAGGTAGTAATTACATCGTCGTAGAATCGAGTCTAGATTAAACAAAAAAATTGCTTGTTTCCAGCCCAGTGCTATACGACTGAGATCTATTAATGACTGCCCGTTTCAGTATGGACATACAGTATGCCCCAAGACTGGCCTCAATTAAAGGCACACCTTCTCTAAACAGAGCGCTATTTATAGTTGTTGCTATTCGGTCAGAGTTCGTTTATAAAGCAGACTGTTGGGACAGATCTGTAGTATGTTAATTGGTTGGTTAAAATAAACATGTATATCTCTCAAGTACTCTGTATCCACCTGCCTATCTATCGTACAATACACCGATACACTGACTTGCTGTTCGTAAAAAGACTTTAAAAAAATCTTGAAATGTACCTTTTTGAACGACAGCTTTTCGTTTGGAACCAGTACCAAAAGTGTTATATCAGTTTCCTCGAGCGACTTCAAGGATCTTCTTGGTACAAAACCGAATTCAAGGACCGGATCTGTTTTGCCATATGCTCTGCTATTGATCTCCATAATTTTTGATAGTTCTAAATGCTAACAAAAGTTTTTGTTTTCTTAATGTACTTCGTCCTTCCCCGAAAATGCCCGAAAATATGAAAAAACAGAAGAAAAAATTCTGCACTTATTAGTTAATCAAATTTACTGTTAACGAGATGCGTCTGACATTTGTTTCGCGTGACCAAATTTTGTCCAGCATCATGTACACCTAGCAGAGAGTACGGTATAATATTTCAGTCACATTTGTGACTGAAAAAGTACAGATGGCAAAACTAAACCACGAAGGCAAGTCCCTTATCACTGAAACAAGAACGCCGGACACGTACACGAGACGAGCGGAAATTGCGCGTTCTCTGCGCAGCTTTCAAAATTATCATCGTACCGTGATCTCTTTTGTTGGCTCCCGCCCCCACTGCCACACTGAAGTGGTCTCTTTTGTTTTGGAGACCATTTTTCAATAAAGCCTGGATAAAGCAGGGATTTAGGTCCAGGTCATGTCATTGAAAATTCAATATATGCGCTTCACAAAAGCTGCCGTATCGTGCCTAAACTTGTGGGAATATAGAATGTCTGATATGTGTAGGTAAGTTGATACCATTACTCAATTGTACTTTTTGCTATTTATGATAATCGCGGGGGTGATGGCTCGCGCGGCCGGCTGTCATGTCACTGGCTTTCACCGGCTGTACTGTCAGTGCAGTGAATGGGCTGTCTTCACGGCCAGTAGCCAATCAGATCGCTCCAATTCAGTCCCAAGAGCTTTATTTAGTTCCCTAGTGTTCATTTACGTCGCTTTGCAAACTCAAACTGGAAGCTGTAACGTACCATGAAACCTACACGGTAGATTTTCCGGGATTCGCTTCAAGGTATTCCTTTTATTACGACTTTTCTCGTTATCCCGTTGTGCACACTTGATATCAGAAGCTCTTTGACTCGCCTTAATGCTTCAAAACGTCGTTGAACATGTATAAATATGGTTGTGCTCGTACACACTTTGAGAATGAAATTTTCTTCTTTGCGGCATTATTTTGAAGCTTGACGTTCTTAGAATTATACGAGTTGTTGTATCTCTAGTATGTTTTGTTTCCACTCCTTGGTAGTGCTTAGTAAAATATAGCGAAAATGTAGCTTGCCGCAGGGGAGCGAAGGAGTAGAAACGAACACGCATTTCTTTGTCAACGGCACCTGGCCCTCATTGTGAGTTGGAAATGAGCTTACGTATTTCATAATTTTGCCGTCCGCTAGTTAAGTTAAACGAAGGCAGGGTTTTTGCTTGAATAGTTCAGTGTCTTACTCAGGGCTTAATATTTCAGCGTGGTCAAACGGTTGGTGTGTATTTTTAAGTTATCTTGAACATATTGTGGTGTTTCGCAGGGTACAACCACCCGTCCTTCCGCTGAATTTTTTATGCTCTTCCGAAATGTCCGACTTTTCTCGTTTAAAAAGAACGAGTTTGTCTGTCGTCTCCGTTTGAACCTTTGTAGGTCTCTCATGGATTAAGCGTTACTTGCGTCTCATGACATTTTCGTTTATTCCTCGAAATTTACCTTGCTTTATCGAGCCCTTGGAAGTAAAACGACAGCGAATCGAAGATGGGAGCTCGGTTAGATGCATGTACAATTTCGAATTGTGTGTTGTGTTTTCAGCACGTAAGCTTGTTAGCTCGTCGCTCTCATTTGAAGGTAAATTCTCTCTTTCAGACGAAGGGCCACTAATTATAATTTCACGTTGAACTAGATTTTTGAGGGGGATTATAATTTTACCGTGCAGCAAAACACGAATTCTAGCTGACATTTTTGACCTGTTTCTGTGATCGCTGCTCAACCGCAAGAACTGCATTTCAATGAGTTTCGGACCCTCGCTGAGTGTAATTGAAGAATTTGGAAGAACGTAGATTTTAAAGCATTAATGATTACGTTGTCTGAGAAATAAATTTTTATGCCGATATATTTTTGTTTTTTTTTCCTTTCTTTCGTGTAGGGCGCCGCGACGTCAACTTGACGCCACAGGAACTCGCGGGAAATACGTTCTTGTTCCCGCCATCCAACAGTTCACCCAGCGACTTATCAGCAAAGAAATGCTGAAATTTTTGGCTCTCAAGTTCAAGAACCAATCCATCAATGAAGTCAAGCCTTACGAGCCACAGGTAAAAGAGTTAACGATTCCTTTCTTCGCAATAACTCTAGTGTTGACACGAACTCATTTGTTCTTATAGCTGGTATCATAGACGCTGGGTAAGCGTAATTTTTAATTTTTTCTCGTTAATATATTTTTTTCAGGTATTTTTACCAGAAAGTTCCGACTTAGAGGAGAGTGCAGACGAAGATGACGAACTGAGGGAGATAAATGGAGGTAATCAAAAATTTGCTCTGTTTTATTCAGTCTCAACATCGATATCACTAATATTTGTCGTTTTAACTTGGCCCCATCAGCCGACAAAGCATTCCGCAACAATAACATACACGAGGAGTCTTTAAAGATCAAGTCATCTTTCGCAGGACAAGTTGAACATGAGGCGACAAAGGAGAATATCTACACAGCGAGAGACAACAGGGAAGAAAACAGAGGTTTTTTGCCGATAGAAATTCCCAGTAGAGAAAGCGGTGCCGCGGAAAAGCGAAAGTGGTCTCAAGTGAACACTCACAAGCTGCTTCAACAATTTGCATCTGGCAACGATAGTTCATCGAGTGACGATGAAATCAAAGAACTTTGTTCTAAAAAGAGTGGCCCGCTGGTGCTCAGCTCAAGTCCGCCTGGCAAAGTCACAATTTTATCAAAACATTCTGCTTTTTCTGCAAGAGTGAGGCCAACGACATACACAAGAGAGGGTCACTCGAGGAAAAAACACCGGGTCGTTTTCGCCGAAGATGATGGATTTTTCTCTAGGCCGTCATTAAACTTCGAGAAGATGCAACAGGTAAAGATTATCAGGCCTTCGTTTGGTCGAAACAATAACTTCCATTGTTTTAATATTTCTGCCTACTCGTGCATGTAAATGTGATATTGCCAGTGTTTATTCTGATGATTTACCTGCATGCAGTGTAAACACCACAACAATTATGACACCAAAAACCCGTTTGAAATGACCTACAATGAACTGCAGCTTCTTTTTGATGCAATTTGTTGAGAGGCGGCAATTCAACGCCCTGCCTTCGTTATTTCCAAAGACACTCGCGCAGAGTTGCGGTTGACTGCGTTGTTGCCACTGGCCTCGTAAGTTCTGTTTGTTTATGTTCCCGTAACGGGTAATCTGAGATATGCTGGCGTTACGTCTTGTGAAATTGAGAAATTCCTGTGCAAAGAACCTTTTGTGTTTCAATGTCAGGCTGATGCAATTTGCTGAAATTCTTTGTGTCAGGATTGATAAGAATCAAGGCTGATTGGCTGACAAATTGAATAGCAGATTTCAGTTGTGCTCATTAGTCATTAAATTATACAAAATCTCTAGTGTTGCATGAGAAGAAATAACCAAGAACTGTGTAACAACAAAAAAACTTTTTTGGTGGCTTATGATATCAAACTCAGAGATAACTAGTAAGGGCCCTTGTCTAAAGTGATAATACCTCTTACAGTCTGGAATTCCCTTTGTCCCAAAGTCATATGAGTTGAGTAGGCCAAATTTCAAGCCTGGAGTAACTGAATATTCTTTATTAGTAGACACTAATGGTAGTCCATCACAAACCAGATAGGTTCTTTACTGTCTGTCCACTGACAAAACATAATGACATGCATTGCCTTGAAAAATATATATGTAGTATGTCTTGTCCCCCCCTCCTCCGCCGAAGGACACAAAGAGGATTGAGTGATTGTCTTGGTCCCCTTTCCTAAAAGAATAAAAAAGTCAAAAAACAGTGTCTGCCAGTGACAGTCACCTTGGCTGAAGGTGGTTGAGTATTTTTCCATGACCTTGGGTCATTAATTAAATACACCACATCTTCACACATGTCAACTGAAGTGTTCAACTATCCTTCAAGATGAACTTCAGTCTCAAGACAGAGAATAAGAAGAGCTTATGAAGTGACCAATTTTGATGGGTAGCAATGTGCTGTCAAGAGATGTATACAAGTTGTTTTTGATTAACTGAAATTCTCTGTTTCTAGAAATCGGTGCTAATAAAGAAGCATACACATGGCCTGTCGAGACCGAGACCAGTAAGAATAAGGGTAAGTTATGTGCTTGCTAACATGCTGTAAGAATAATTTTTCTGTGTATTGTCATCTGTCAAATCACAGATCCACCAGTAGGAAGGGTGTACTTGTGACAACATTGTGTGTGGTGCTGTACATGTTCTGAATAGCAATGAATGATTTTGTAATAGGCCTAGCGTTGGATCATTTTAATGTAAAAAATACACGCCAGATATGCAATGATCATTCTACAAAAAGTCTGGGTAAGATTCCATAAAATCCCATACTTAGTTGTACATGAAAGTTTGGGAGTCTTGTTGTCAGTATTCATGATGACTATTTTGTGTACATGTGGTGGATACCGTCATGGGTTTCATTAAGAACTAGGCAAATTGACCAGCTGCGAGGATGATTTTGCCTGCCTGGTTTGACCATCAAGAGGAAAGTTTTTCTTATAAAGTAGTTCAGTTCAAAAAGTTTTGCCCGCCTGTGAAAACCAGTTGACCTCTTGCTGAAACGTGTAATGAAGCCCCTGGGTACTATAAAAGAAATTGAAGTCGGGTATACATGGCTATATGGAAATCCTTCCAAGACCATGTATACATGTATGTAGAGATACAATTTAGACCCTAGCTATTTTATTCAGTCTATATATTTTTTTTATTTTTGTGGGTAATAATGGGTATACAGTGGTGACCCTTGACGTGACAGGTTTCCAGTTGAGTTTGTGTGAGGCTGTGTAAACGTAATGTTGTCAACTTTTCTCAGATTTTACCTACATGTAGTCAATGACACTTATACTATCATGTTGTGTTTACATAATCTGACACAAACACTTGAGTTACTTTGAGAGAAGTTCAAAGTACTTATTGTAAACCTTTGTATGCAGTTTGGAGTTGTTCAAGTGTTTGTGTCAGGCTGTTAACTGTAAACATGCATGCACTATTGTTATTATTATTATTTTTTGTAATTTCTAAAGTTATTGTGCCCATGGTGTCCCTAAAAAATGTAGTATACTGTTACCTTGAAGGACTGTTTGTGACAAATCTGAAAGTACACATCATTCTGTTAATATTAATGGATAGGACTTGTTACTCATCAGCAACGTGACCAGAGCTGCCATTAAGGGCCATAACCCGTAACACCTGTTACGGCTGAGTGTGCTTAATTTCCCCTCCATGCTACAGGTGAAATTGCCTGTTATTGAAAGAATTCACCCACAAAGTAACAAGTTTGCTGTGGGTGTGGAGAACAAGGGTACAGGTGACTCAAAACTAAACAACAGCCCCGATGACAATTCCCAGCTTGTTCTAAATAACCTTCCCTGTTTTCGTCTTGCGTTCCTTGCAGAGTATCTCCAGTGGTAGACATAGTCGGGGCTGTGACCCAGCTGTGTTGTCATTCAAGCCCATCCAGATGAACCCATCATTCAGTCTTGCACCAGTCGAAGAACCAGGCTTTGCCTATTAACATGTTTCAGCCGGCATGTTTCCACGCTGTTATTGGCTACATATTAGTACCTAACTCTGGAACCTTTTACAAGTCGTGTGCATCGCACACAGAACGTTAAAAAGGTAGATTACTTGGATACAAGTGAGATACCTTACAGGTCTTAACCCGCCTTATGTGTCATCACTGGTTGCCTACAAGTGGCAGAAGAGCCCAGAGGTTGTATCAAGTTGACATCAGTTAATTGAGCTTTGCATTTTGCAACTTTAGACTCAGAGTAAAGTTAGCTCTCATTTATTCTCGGTTTAATATATACGGTTGCTCAATTTTCGGAGCATTTAGATATGTATGTATAAATGAAAGTTTTCGTGCAATTGGTCATGTGCTGGTTACAATACCTTGTGATACCAACATAATTAACTCAGAAGATGGCCAAATGACTAGTAGGTCTTGTAGAGGTGACCAGCCACATTTTTCACAAGTTGAACATCTTGTGTCAGCGATTTATTTCATTCTGTTCATTGGTCACTCTTGACTAGCCAGGAGAAGTAGGAAGTTTCCATTAGGAAAGCAGTATTGTAGATGAACTTTTTACCAATTTTGATTGGTAACTTGTTGTCTGCTTCTGTGCTGCATCACTTCTGATGTCCAAAAATGCTCAAGATTATCTTTTGGTTTTTGCAGCATGCCTTTGTCTTGGGCTTACATTTGTTGTGATCTAAAATGATAGTGGGTGATTCTCGACAAAAGATCTGACAGGTTGATCCCACATGAAAACTTCTTCAACCATTTTACAACCCTTTGAGCCTTAGCAGTACTATTGATCAGCTTTTTGCTTCTCTTTAAATCGTCATTGGAAAGTCTTGCTTGTAGGTTACAATAATCTAGCAAGTGGTTGACAGAGAGAAAGAGAGAGAAATAATCTTGTGTTTGTTCTAACCAGTTCTGTGTCTTTTGAAAACTGTTGTACAGAAAAAGGGTGTAAGGGTCGATTCAGTACTAAACATGGCTAGTTTGGTGGCAGTGTTTTCTTATCTCAGATGAGGGAAGCAGGCTTCCGTCACCCTCTGTGTGGGATTGCTGATAACAATGGCAAGCTACCAATCAAGCTTTGTTGTATTGTTGGAATGCGTGAAGGAAGTATTTCTGATGACTGTCAAAAACTGTCATGAAATGCAGACTGAAAATTGTACAATGCTAGCTTTAGATCAGAGGGTGGTAGATTTTTCAATGATAGAATACACTTTTGAAGTGATAGTAACTCAGTGAAGAATGAGGGAGATTGTGATGGATATTGAAAAGTAAACTTGGAAAATGTAGGTCAAATTTCACGCCAGCTCAAGAGTACATGGCACATTCAATTTGATAGAAACCCAAGTTAATGTTTAAATGTGAATAAATAATTAATAAAACAACAAACAAGTAAACATACACTTTTTACCAGATTTAGCAGCTTGCAATCTCCCTCCGACTTCTGCTGTAATTTGTTAGCTTTAAACTACCATAAACATGTTAGCGTTTCCTTTCATCTGAACTCTTACAGTACTCACTTAAGTTTTAACACCTGTGTGGAGAGAGCAAAGATTTTCACCTTTAAAGTGGTATATAGCAGGATACAATGACCAGTATCAACTTATCTTGGGAATGTGTACATCACTTAGACTTCTATCCTGTGGTTGTAATTTTGTTAGATCTGAATTCTAATGTAAGTTTTTTTTTACTTGGATTCGATTGTTAAAAGCATGAGTAGTTGATCCATAACAATTGTAAGCCTGAATGTTGAAATCAATTTTGTAACTTTTCTTTGAGGTTTTCTGTTTATTTTTTGCTTTTATTTTCTGTTTTCCAGTTTTGATGTTGATCATGCCAAACTAAACAAAACATTTAGCAATGAGAAACACTTTTATACCAGAGAATTTCAAACCATGACCCTGTTTTGGTGTTGATCAGCTTTTGAGCAATCTGGTCTAGGGATGTAGTTTGTTTTCATCAGAACTAGCTTGTATTTTTGGTATTGAATAGTTTGGAGTTTCTCAGAAAGGGTCACTTGATAAGTGTTTGGTCACTGATTATTTTAAAGGTTCTGTGATTTTTTCCAACCATATCAACCATTTTTCATGAAATGATATGCACACTCATGTCTTGCTAGTCAAGTTTTCCCACATAAAATCTGATTTTAAAATCCAAGGGATTTCTCTCATGACTGCTTTATGTCGATAATGTAAATCTGACCGGGTGCATTTCATCATGTAAACCCATTGTTGTTTGGGGCATGTATATACTCCTATGTATATACTGCAACTATCTAAAGTTTGTTTATGTGTGCCTATAGACATGGAGATCTGACTTGGGTTGTTTGAAAGGTGGATAACGCTATCTATTGGAGACTTCACCATCCAGTGGATAACATGGCTTGTTTTGTGAACACTTGTCCACTGGATAGCAATTTATCTGGTGGATAGCGTTATCCATCTTTTGAACGACTGGGGCCTGACATTAGAGAGTGTTATAAGTCTTCACATTTTCTTTCTTACAGAATAGGTATGGAATTGTTTTGGCTTTTTCACTTTGGACACTTCATTAACCTATTACATTAAGTTTTCTTTAACATCAGGTCTATATTTTTCCAACCTTCCCTTTTTGATACAGTGTGGTATAAGCAAGCTGGATTTCCTTGCAGGCTCCTTTCCCAAATAGTGACTGGTTATTGAGCCCATGTAGCAAGGTGCACCCATAATTTCTTTCTTTTAAGTAAGGTCTTTTTCAAGTTTTGGTTAAGTGAAACAGCCATTACAACAAGGTCTTGTTAAATTGTCCTCTTTATCTGATAGTTTGTTGACTTGAAGACTTAATATTTATCTACTTAAGTATATTTATACAGATATTTTGTACATATGTATTTTATAACTACAAAAGAGTAAGTCAGATTATCTGAGAGTTTGAAACTTAGAAGAGTATTTATTCGGACTGAGACGTACATGTACATTGTTTGTTCATAACGCAACATAGAGTTCGGCAAGGGTGTGTTTTGTTTGCCTCTCAAACATTAATTAAAATGTGTTTTACAATATCTGTCTCATTGTGATCAATTCTTTAACGTGTATTTTCTTTCCTCTTTCATTTCCACTCTTAAAAACTAATTTCATCTTGGGCCGCATAAAATATGAGTTCCTCACACTTGGATAAAATTCTAAAATAGTCTTACCAAAGTTTACAGAATTAAAATAAAAATATGTCTTGAGCTCCTCACACTTTGATAAATTCTAAAATAGTCTTGCTAAAAACCGAACTGTCTAATCTTCATCGTTTCTTCTTCAAACGAGCAGGCTTGGCCTTAATGTCTTTGCATTTTGGTATGTGTCTTTCAGCTGTAGCAGGATTGAATTTCCTCTCGCAATGAGGGCATTGGACATAGTCTGGGTTTTCTGTTGGAGGCGGAGGTTCATTGCTCACTCCCTTTGCGTACCGGATAGCTTTGACAAAATTTTCATGCTGAGTTCTCCAGTCTGCTTTGGGCTGGAATGAAAATAAAATCAAGCTTAGTTTCTATTTTGGCATTGTCTCAGTTGGAGGGGTATACCCGGGAATAAAAGTCATGGACAGGTGTGAAGGATGATTGATTCTATGACACTGACAGATGATTTTTTGTTTATTAAGAAATTTTTTGTGCCAAGTTTTTTACCAGAACAATTTTCGGGGAGGATGGGGGTATATAGTGAGTCATAATAGATAATGAGGTTTGAGTAATTCAATTGCCTTGTGCTGGGATTCTTCTTTAATACCTTTAAGGTGGTTCATGTAAATTATGACCCTTAACATTTTCATCCTGTGTGCATTTTGGGGGATGGATGTAGGTGATGTGTTAATCTATTTGCAGTGTATTGACTGGTAAAGGTTAAGTCTGCATGTGAGCCAAGTGGCCCATCAGGGCGGGGCTTATCTCCAGTTTCATTAGCATGAAGTGACTAGGAATATTTCTAATACCCACTGCCTCCTTGAGGGGATGCTAGTCCATTGCAGGGTTACCTTCCACCACTAAATTTGCCGGTACACATTTATACACCAGGGTGGAGAAAAGAACTCAGAGAGTAAAGTGTATTGCCCAAGAACACAGCACGATCTCCCTGGCCAAGGCTCCAACCCAGACTGTTTGATCCGGAGGCGAGTGTGTTTATAACTGTGAGGCCACTGCACCTCCACATAGTGTTTTGATAACAGCTATTAAAATCTAAGGGTGCAGGTAGTATGGAAATGCAACTTACCCTTTTCTTGGGTTCCTCCAGGTATTTTCCACTCTCTACATATTTCTCATGCTCAGTACCAACACTTCGGTGCTTTCTTGTGTCAAAAACCTTCCGTTTTGTGTTTGCAGTTTTTGCGCACACTTTTTCATGCTTGGCCAGCCTGTCTGGAGCAAAATTACGTCCACAGATAGAGCAGGGGGAGACAGCAAGCAAAACCTCATTAACATCCTTGGTTGCTTCATCATAGAAATTATTGTATGCATTGTCATGGATATTCTCGCTTTGATCAAGTTCGTCCTCCAGTGTCTGAGTAGGAGGGGGAGTTTCTTTTTTCACTGGTTGTTTGGTGGGTTTTGGCACCTTCTTTGAGACTGTTCTCTTGATCTGTTTAGAATCTTCAGCAGGATCATGTTGCTGAGGCAAGATGGCATGCTCCTCTAAACTGTGTTTTTCTGCCAACCATTTTTCATGCTCTTCCTTTTGCTGTTTCTCCTGTTCTTCCAGTTCTTTCCTCTGCTGTTTTAACTTATCAAGTCGCAATTGCTCCTCTTGTATCTTATTAAGAATTTCGTTCTCCCTTTGGGAAAGAGACAACTCTGATTTCTGTTTGTGTTTTTCCAGCCGCTCTGTTCTCTCTCTGTCCTGTTCCATCTGCCATGTTTGGAAGTCTGTCAGTTTACCATTATCAACATTATCTTGCTGATTCGTAGTTATTAATTTTTGCTTGCTTAGTTGCCTTTGCCTCAGAGCTTTTGCTTTTAGTTTACTTAGATTTGGAGGTACACTGCTATAATCTGTAAGGGTACTAAGGGCATCGTCGTAATCGCTGACAGATTCTTCAGCACTTGGGGATGGTAATGGAGCCTTTGATCGTTTTGTGTTTGGTTTACTCTCAATAGGAGGTACTGGCATGAATGGGCCAGAAGTCTCAAAATCTTCACCATCATCTTGTGCCAAAATGGAATGAGTTTCGTATCTTTTATTAGGAGTTGGTGGTTTTCTTCTTGTGACATCAGAGCCACGCTTGCTTACCGGAGGCAGAGGGTCTTGTTTATCAATACCCTTTGTCCTTTTCCTTACATTGACGCCAATGTGTCTTGTCTGAATCCTTGTTGAGTATTTTGAAGACAGTGGTTTTTGTGGTGACAGAGGTTCCTGTTTCAGACTAATTCTTCTCCCAGCCGGCATGTGTGTTTTTGAAAGTTGTTCACTTTTAACTATGCCTTGTGAAAATGTGTCCTGTTTTTGCTCCTTCACCTTTTTGAAATGTGATTCAATCGGGGGTAGCAGTTCAGGATTTTTCTGTCCTTTTCTCGTAGCTTCCATTGCTCTTCTCTCTGCAAAGAATTCTCGTACCATCCCTCCACCATTACTGCCTGGTTTTAGACTATTTTCTTGTTGAACAACTCGCAACTTATTGATCTTCTCTTCTCTTTCAAGTTGAAGTTTCTTGCTATAATCATTTCTGAGTAACTCCAGACGAGATAACTTCTTCTTTTTTGGGGCACTTCTATTGTGGTTCATGTTGTAATTTGCTTGAGAAATATTTGCCGAGACTGACTTCATAGTATCAGGGACATGGGAAGAAATCGCTGCATTGCTGTTGTACTGATGCAGTGACCGCGTTGGTGAGCTGTCATAAAGGATCTGCGCCATGAAGTTTCTCACTTAATCTATGGTAAAATTAGAATTAAAGGAATAATATTGTAAGAATCCTGAACAATGATACGTTTGAATGGCATTCAATTTCATCATACAGCCTCACCAAAAATTGCCTTGGCTGCCTTTGAAGACAAAGGAGAACAGAAGAGAGCTCAAGGGTGAGAGTGATCACAAGAGGCCCCATGTAGCTAATAGTTTTGGAGAAAGTTGTACACACCCCACTGGTGATTGAGAGGGCCATCATAAAATGATTACACTTCTTATCAGTAATGAGGTGCTACAAATTTATTTAATTTTTGGACAAATCTGTTAGTTATCAGTAAAGCCTCTGCAGATGATAAAATCCCTTAAATTAGTCGTAGATTCAAACTGTCAACAAAAGGAAGAACAGTGTCCCAGCAGATGGCACATGTCACAAAAATGTACTTTGAATTTGAAGTGTCCTTTTCCCATGTTTTGGTGGATCAATATTACCTTATGATGTGAACCTGTTGGACTGCTGTGTCCTTTGATAAAGTCTTTCATGTTAGAGATTTTCATCAACAGAAGTAACCTTACGTACTGTTTGAAAACCAGTCATATTTTCCAAAATTTGTAGTTGTTAGGTAAAGACAGTGGGTGTCGACACGCACATCACATCACTCAATTACACCGCACCAATAAATAAAAAGACGGACATTCTGAAGTGTCCCTGCGGTGTTTGTTTTCATAAACACTTCTTGTTTCTTGAGGCTCGAATAATTTCAACAAAATCAATGAACACAGGGATAGTATTTTGAATACCAAAAGTGTCAATAAAATATTTAATAATCAAGGATGGCTTCCGACATTTGTTGTAAACTACAACAATGATTTGCCGAGTGTACGTGCTTCAAATCATTTGTGATCAGGCAATGTTTCGGAACAGTGAATCTGCTGGGCTTCTTCAAAATGGCACTTGATTAATCGATAGCAGTGGATGAAATCCTCAGTTTAAAATACTGAAATGTCGAATCAGTACAGGTACAACATGAATTCACTGAACCTAGAATGTCTGTACACATTTCAGATCTTGCGGGTAAATAAAACCAAAGTAAAAAGTACAGTTTGTGGCACGTGTGAAACACATTTTCTGTGATTTGTCTTTTTAATTCTAAAGCGTTCTCTTTTACGGAATCGTAAGCTGTATTCACGTTTACTCGAAGACTTTTTATGAGTCTGAAAATTTAGCACACGATAAAACAATCGTTAAGAATATAGACGTAAAGAAAAATCGACTTTTGTTAAGTTGCGCTGTATTGTTCATGCACTGGCGATCCGAGAGGCCAGGGAGAAATCACGAAACTAAGCCCATTTTTTAAAAAAAAGAATTCGACGCAAGTTTTCCTTTTCTTGTTTGAAACGAGTTAAAACGTGTGACAGATACCCACCTCCAAGCACAGATTGTTTTCTCTTTCGGTAGTTTCCAAACCTGTTAGCGAATTTCCACGACGGTCTGATCGTAAGTACATTATTCTTACATGTTTAGTGAATTATTTTTACATCCGATTGGCGTTGCTATGTAAATAAGATACTCGTTGCTATGATCGTTCTTGGTGTCTTTCGTTTCCTAGCAACCTTTTTAATTTCAAACCCAGTCTTCTCAGGAAAGCTCATCCAACATGGCGACCTCTACGCCGAAAAAGTCCAAGTCACCAAAATCTCAGAAAACTCCATCAAGAAAAGAAGTAATTTCGCAGTCAACCTCTCCGAAATCATCTCCCAACAGAAATTTGTCGGATGTTGCTAAAAGGCTAAGAGACTGTTGCGCTACTTGGCATGAGCACGTGAATAAATGGTCCAAATTGAACGAACTGGGAACATCGTTGGCTAACAAATTGGTTAATTTACAACTTCAAAAAGAGTAGGTAACAGTAATTTTTTTCCAAAATTTAAACTTTTTGTTTATTTTTATTTTGAATAGATATATTAATCTGATGATCCATAGGGGACCTGTAAGGGTACGAAATGTTGCAGAGAAGTTATAATAATGGGCAATTGCAATTTCCATTCAGTTCATATTTTTACCGTTTAAAACTGCTGTAAATATGAGCACAAGTTTGATTAGTTAAGCTTATTTACTTATAAGCTTAATATTACATTTTTATTGAATAGATACAATGCTGTTGAGGAAAGCACCACACTTTCTCTGGCAAACGACCAAGACTTGGCCTTTAAACTTCAAGGGGACATACCAAAGGCTTCCCAAGAACTTTCAAGAATTTACAGTTCTTTGGTATCGGCAGCAATCTTCTTTTAACCTTTGTTTTATTAGAAAATTTCTTAAGACATTCAAGCTGTATTGCTTGCAGTCTCATTTTGGTCGTCACACAGTACTTCTCCCCACTGAGTAATGCATTTTACAATAACCTGACATGTCACTCATACCATTGCCTTTACCTTAAAAATTCTGATAAGCCTTACCTAACCCCAAAAATAAGCCCTCTCTAAATGAATCCCTCAAAAATATCAGCGTTCTTATCCTCAGAGGCTGCACTCCTTTTCGTCAGCACCAAGAATCGCGACCTCTGACTGGACCCGATTTTCTGAGCATGCACAGAGTATTTGCTTTGTATTCCCAGCCAATCAGATTTGCCAGATTTGACGGGAAGTCTGTGACTCATGGACTTTTGGTGTTGGACCAGCCCAGGGGTCACGATTCTTGGTGCTGACCAAAAGGAGTGTGGCCTCTGGGGACAAGAATGAAATATCAGGTGCAAAGTTCCCCTTCCAGCCACACAAACAGAAGCCCATCATGTTATAATATTCAGTTTTGGGTCTCAAACAAGGATACACAATTTTTTAGATTGACATGGGAGATCTTGTTTTGCATTTGTCATAACAGTAATTTCTGATGTGTGATGTTTATTGACTGTGGGACTTGCTTTGTTTCATAATAATATTATGGTTATGTTTGAGGGTTTTATCATAGAGACACAATTAATTTCCCGTCCAAATGTAAACCTGAATCACTTCTTCTGCCAACGTGTCCCCAATCTGCAAAATGCCTTCTGATAAAGTGCAAGCACAAATGATATAATCAGAGTGTTTTTGTATGTTGGTATATTCTTTCCCTGAAAACTGTCTCTTTCTGTTAGGCTGATTTACATACAAAAATGGAAGCTTTAGTACAGAACTTTCACGCAATAAGAAAACTACAGTCTATTCAGAGAAACAATGACAATGGATCAGACAACCGAATCTTCAATACCTGGACTATTGAGCGTTTTTGTAAGTACGTGTATTTTGTCAAGTGACATAATGGCTGCTAATATGGAAGGGCATTCAAGGCAAGCACTAACAGGGGTCACTGAGTTTATATAATTTTTTGGGCAAAACATGCATGCAATAAGTGCAATTTGGTTTCAAACAAGCTATATCACAACATTTATTATATGGCTGTGTCTCACAAGGACTGGGAACCAGTGAATTCACGAATTTGATTGGCTGAAATTGATATTGTGCGCGGTCTAGATTTTCCCATCTAGACCAGCATATTGCGTTGAAAAAGTAGCAAACTAAAATTCAAAATGTTCACCATTTTCTTCTATTTTCTTCTCAATCATTTATGGAAGTGCCAAAAAGCCCGATGACAAAAAAAAAAAAGAAAAGTAAAGAGGACGAGCAAATTTCGGCAGGTTTAAGTTAAGCTCATTTCCGTTTGCAAGCAAAATGTCAGCACACCAGTTACATTAAACGAATTAAAGTTTTCTTCTTTGCCATATAATAAACATCTTATTAACCCAGTTAAGTTGGTCTGTATGAGAGAATCTTGACCTTGGTCGTGTGTACAGACCTCACTGTGTTCGGTCTGTACTCACGACCTTGGTCAAGATTCTCCCATACAGACCTCCTACTCAGTTAATAAGAGCTAAGTAATGTTGCATCATAATTTCTTATAAAAATTGCCAATTTTTACAAATATTTTATCATTTTTGCAATGTCTTAACCTTCCTCAGTCATAGCCATTCTAACTTATTTTTTGTTTTTTAGTGATTATTGTTCATTAGTTTTTTTGACCTATAAAAACTACTACCAGTTAGTTTAAGATTTCAATCTAATCAGTAATCTGTATACATGTATATCAAAACCAGGAATAATTAAAAAAAATGAATCAAAACTTAAGAAATTTGTAAATATGTACTGTTATGGCATGATTTGATGTAGTGCTCTCCTTCAAATAAGCACCCTCTTTCTAATAAGCATTCCCCATTGAGTGTCATTAGTTCAATAAGCACCCTCCCTTGAGCTACCAAAAGAAAATTAGTGCATAAATACAAATTGGGTATTGATGATGAAATGTAATGAAGTTTCCTGCATTTTTTTTTTCCAGGTGATGCATCACAGAGACTTTTAGATTCATTTACCAAAGAACTTTCTTTAAAGGAAAGACTTGTAACAGAATTTACCTACTGTAAGAACAGAGATCAACTGATGGTGTATCTGTCACTGTGGCTCCATGAGCCACTTTTAAATGATGATAATGACGTCCTCTTAGAAAGCATGTTGATTGAAACTGAGTTGAGATGACACAAAAATCACACAATGGAAAATAGTTTGAATGTACTATAATTCCACAAAAAAGGTTGGTACCTTGGGTGATCCATTAATAGCTAAGTTAATATCCAGTGAGGATGCTGGTCCAGCTTTGTAATATTCTTGTCGAAGGAGCTCAATGGATTTGGATAAGCAAGATGCAAGTTTCCAACATAGCTACCAAGTACTGATGCAATGCCTATTGTGTCTCATCTCATTCCTCATCGTGCTCCGCAAGACACCTGAGGCCATATGTCTGTACTCACATGAAATACCACTGATCATAACACCTTGTAAGCTGGGTACAGTTTGCCTAAGTTCCTAGACCTCCGTATTTTGCCATGGTCAATCCCTTTTGGGCTGAATTGATCATGAAAGCCCGGGATAAAGCCATACAGGAACTTGTCAAGGTGCTGTCTACATCTACATGCCCCCAATTGAATTCCTTTGCCATTAATTTTGCTAATTGCTACAGACAATCATAACCACTGACACTTCACAACATATTTTATTGCTTTTTCACAAGCTAAAAGAACAGTCAAAAGTCCACTAGAGACCAAGAGACAGTTTAATAAATAAGCTTTTTAAATTTACTATTTTCTTCACTTGATATCCATTTACCCAGTTGATTGTAAATTGATGGCAAAAGTCCTCATTATACAGGGATGAAGACTTTCTTAACCATAAGTTTTACTTTCCTACTGTTAAGTTGGTTTTATAGACTTGTGACAAGTCTACTTGGGCTGGGAGGGGTATTTTTACACAATGCACGAAGGCCTGGGTCAGTGCCTCAGTACAATAATTGTAAGTTCTTTTTTTAAACAGAAACCTTGAAATAAAGACATACAAGTATCTTTATAATATATGGTGGTATTATTTATACACAAGTCTAAGCAGATTCATTCCTTTTCTTCCTTTTGACTTTCTCTGTCAGTTTCTTTTATACTCTGAGAAGCACCTGAACTAGGGGATGCCCCAGCTCTTTGAAGTAAGCTTGATCCCAAAGAGCGTGGACTGCCTCCACTAAGAAGTCGGCTTGACAGTGTGCTGCTTATACTGCTAAGGGTGCTGGTAATACCACTTGTCTGACGACGTGAAAGCACAGGTCTTTCAAGTGGTGCATCTAATATTGGGATGTTATCAAGAGCTTGCACTTCACAGGATGCCCAGTCTGGTATCTTGTTATCTTGTATGTACCTCTCTTTCGTTACAGAGCGGTCTGCCAGCACTTCAAGAGCACCAAATATTGCACCTACAAAACCACACTACAATAAGCTTGGGAGTGAAGATAGAAACATTCAACAGGGGGAAGAAGCATCTTTTAGTATAATTATGAATTCTACACCATGAGCAGTCATATTTCTATAGATTGCTAATAAGTAAGAAAGTGTAATTTTAGTCACGTCCTTTATCTTAAATGCTCGGTAATATTCTGTGTTGTCTATTTGAATCCTGCCTATGACATTTGACAAGCTTGCTCTTAAGAAATATAATTTTTGTATTGTAATGAAAGCAGCTAACTGATCTTACAACATTATTTTGGCATTACACTTGAAACTGTTTGGTAAATGGTTAATTAAGCCTGCCTGCCAAATCTCATCTCTACTAATGCCTAGCTTTAATAGCATTTGTAGCAGGACGATCTTAGCAGTGACGTAGCTAAGAGCTGGCAACTGGCAAAATTTTACAAGTGGAAAATTAAGAGAACTTATCACTGGCTAAAATGTCAGTACAAGAACAGCATTGGGTTTTGGCGCATGGAGCGAGACAACAGTGGCTGCTCGTGACTGTGTGACATGGTGAAGGAGAATGTCTGGCCCTATACCCACTTAGGGTTACGGTCAAAATCAAATCAAATCAAAATGTCAGTACAAAACAAAGACCCATAGTAATCCTCAAGGGACACTGGCTAGAAAAGCTATCTAACTTTAAGCTTGTTGATGAGCTGGCTTAGTTTTTCTCAACTGCATCCCTAGAGTAGGAGCATTTTGGATTCCTTCCCCTGGATGAAGAAGGGTGCCGTTTGGGGGGGGGATAGTGGAATAGTGTAGGGGTGGGAGAGTAACAATCCTTTATGCTACAGAACATACTCAGCAGTTATAAGTCACTCAGCTTTTGGAAACCTTCCTACAAGGATTTTTAAAAAAAATCACACAGTCAGATGACATACCTCCAAGCCATGATGTACAGTTAGGGCTGACAGGTGTCCGATGCATTTTGATGGTTTTAATAAACAAGTTCTCCTTGTATCGAGGTGACTGGAGTAAACAATAAATCTCTTGCAAAAGACGGTGCCTAGACCAAAGAAATAGAAAACACCGGTCAACTTAAAATAATCGTCATCTATGTAAAACCCCCTCTCCCCTTTTCTTTTCTCATGGTGTGAATTCCAGACAACCTGCAGTTCAAATGTGTATTTCAGAAAAGAAAACCTTGGAAGATACATCCAAGTCCTCCTCTGCCCCTCCCTCCCCATCCCTTTTCCACTGTTATTTCAGTGCGATGGGTGCCTGGATGACCGTGGGTGGGGGCTCATGGATGGGTTGTGAGGACAGCCAGCCATGGAAGCTTTTTATGATCTAGGGACTGGCTGATCTCAGTGGAGGCCCCTGGACATCCTGGACACCCATCTTCCATGCAGCTGGATGCAGTTCTTCATTTCTCCAAAACAAAACTTTGAACTATGTTTTTCATTGCATGTGCTCAGGCAACTGCAACCAACTTGCTGTAGCCAGTTTCCTGGTGCATAAGATTTATTTATAGCGGGGGAATTTGAAATATGTTTTGGAATATTATTTGTACTCCACCAGAAGGGTTGAATAATACAATTAATATGAAACTTACGTCTTATAATATTAACACAATTTGTTGTGTGGTAATGTACATTTTACTCTTTATTTGCATTATATGTATAGCTTTACATGTACCTCTACAAAATGATATACTAATACAGTTAGTACTAAGATAAAATGGGACTTACTTAAACCCTGGTGTCATAACTGTTCCTCCAATGAGAACTATGTTTTCTGCCAAAGTTTTCCTGGTGTCAATAGGACACTACAAACCCAAGTTGACATTATAAACATTAGGTACATGTACTTAATTATTACTAAAAATGCAATGATATTGTGAGCATTACTTAAAAGTAAAAGATTAAATTGGGTTCACCATGTACCTTGAGTATGGAATCCAAAACACATGTTGCAATGGATTTTTCTTCCTCATCACCATCAAACAGAATATCAAATGTCTGTTCTCTGTAAACAAGGCAGAACAATATTATCCTTCAACTGAGATTTGTATACATGTCACTCTGGGCATTAATGTGCTCCCTGACTCATCTGCCTCTATTATTCTTATACATGCAGTGCATCTAAAAAAACATGTAATCAAGAAATAATTATTGTTAACCTTACCAGTAGTAGGAGTAGTCAAATCAGTGATTTTACATGTGAATCAAAGACTATGAACATTTTAATAATCTCCTTCGCAGCCGTTATTAGGGTCATTGTGCAACACTTATCCCCTAGTAGGGGAGAAGCATGGTGTGACAACCCTAACAGTGGCTGCGAAGGAGGCTAATTAATGAGCATTGCACTATTAAGGTGGCTTACTACAGTTTTGATGGATTATAACAGCCCAACTTCTAACTCTTTTAAAAAATGTTCCAAGATGTTTTTCCTTTCTCTGTTTACTGTTTACGCATTACAAGTCTTTTACCATTCTACGTGAAACTTGAACAATTAAACGTCAACAAATGCCTAAAATGAATGACCGAGTACCTAAGGATAGACTGAGCACTAGTAGGTTAAATCACATTTTTCTCAAAATCTACCACCTCAACATTTCAGGAATAAGAAATTGGCTCTTATTTAACATTCATGCAAAGTAAAATAAAAATCTGTAAGACATTTTGAGCTATTTTTGATTTCACATTTTCTTAGTTTGAGAAAAATCTGTCTTATTAATAAGACAATTTATAGTCAAATAGATTGTGTTTTGAGCATATTCCTCCGACAATCTCACTACATCCTGTCCTGTCTTTGCTATTTTACCTGATTTGACCTTCAATTCTGAGTATCCTTCCACCATCAAGTGGATAATCAACCTTTGGCACTTGTGAAGCTGGGCGTGGTTCTCCCTCTGGGCCACTAAACTTTGGTGCCACAAAGCAGGTACGCACTACAGAGCAACCATAACAATGTTCAAAACACACAGAGTAGATGATGTGTAACCCGTAGCTGGGGGATCAATCTGGCCCTGCTGATGTATGACCTCTTCTCAGAACATTACAAATAAGATGACAGACGATCAGACAAGCCTCCCAAGAGTTGTATTGACAAGGGTGCAAGACAAAAATTCTTCATGAACATTTTATTGTGTTTGTAAAAATAAAGTTCACCAATAAAGGTATCTGTCTGTCTACTGGTCTATCTGTCTGTGTCTGTCTATCTGTCTGTCTGTTGTCAGTCCGTCAGTCAGTCAGTTAATCATTAACTAATAAAAGGAGAATTTTTCCCAATCAATAGGTTCACTTTCTGGACTGTCCAGATCAAAAGAACTGTTCCTTATTTATTTTTGCACTTCTGCCAGTTGAAAGGGCAAAACAGGTCCTGAGTAGTGACCAGGTCAAAGAAGTCACTTGTCTTAAATGACAAGTTTACCTTTGATATCCTCCAAAGTTTCTGTTTCGACAGCATCTGAAAAATCATTTAAATAACAAATCATCACCCAGTGACTTTTACTTTTACTTTTACTAATTTTCTCAAGAGGTTATGATTGGATACACTCTTCATACAAAACATTAGGGGCAAAAAAATCAATTTGTAGATTTAAGAGCAACCCCAAATTTATGACACACCACATCATTGTCACAATCACTGTTAACTATACAGCTTCACATCAAACTTGCACAGTTCAAGTTTGCAACAGTAGGTTCATGACTAGGGTAAATGTAATGTTTGCGTAAAAGCCAAGCAGCTCATCAGGCCTGCAGTTTAATACCAGTTTCTGTAGCATGAAGCGACTAGGAGTATTTCTACTTCCCCCTGGAAGGCCATTTACACATGTACAGTGTACACCTGGGTGGAGAGAGGTACTGCAAGAGTAAAGTGTCTTGCCCAGGAACACAACACAATGTCCCCGGCCAGGGCTGGATCGCTTGATCTGGAGTGGATGGCACTAACCATGAGGCCACTGCACCTCCCACAGGTTCGTGACTAGTGTGTTTTTTAAAATCTTAATAATTATTTATAATAATATCAGCCTGAGCTATGACAGAGTTTACTCACTCATAACAGATGACAAAGGTTTTATTCCAGTTTCTATTTGCACAAGACTTCTATCCATAAGCTGCTTTTCTAAGTACCTGAAATTGCAAAATGTTCATTGTCACATAAAATACTGTACATTTTTTACTAAGTCTTTCCAATAATACTTGCAAGTCCATTTGGCCAGGGCTTAACACACACTTCTGTCAATGATTGGAAGAAAGAGCTATAACTTAATCTTACTTGTGAATGGCTTGTGACCCTAGGGGAATTGTTTCAACAGCCTTCAGAATGGCCGTCCCTTCATAGATGTGATGGCAGAAGCAAAAATGAGTCAAGTAACACAACTTCTAAATAAACATGAAAAGTCCAATTCATCTGGAGAAGGGATTATATTGACTTTCTGCTACATTAAAACTTGATCTCGTTCAAATTCCAGCTATATATAATTTAAACTAAATATCAAATAAATAAATACCTTGGTACATATATGAGTTTACCAATTAATTTCTAAATTGATGACAGGCTCTGTCAGGTGCCCATAGAAAGGTTTCTGATTGGAACTTGCTAATAAATAAACAATTATAACCTCTATTTGGCACAGAAATATGCTTGGATATTTGTCTGCAGACATTATCTGTTCCAAGAAGCAAACAGTTTTTCTGATAGCAAAGCATGAGGAAAACTGTGAGCTTTAAGGAACAGATAATGCCCAAGAACAAATATTCATTACAAGAATATTTTTAACGACAGATGGAGGCTACTGTGTTTGTTCCTACAAATACTTTTGGCAGCATTAACAGGCAGGATCACTCAGATATTCCTCAGTTTTAGCTGGCACATATTTAATCACATGACAATGTGTTTAGACCAATCACTTCACATGCCAACAAAAACATTCATGATAGATTATAATGAAATTTACTGTTTCAAGGTTCTGGTATAAAAAAATTCACGAGGAGCCCAAAGGTTCCTAACAATGAAATCCTGTGCGCCCATCATTTACTATAAGCATATATAAGAAAAGTAGGTTTTTCCAGTCACTGAAAGGCAAAATTTAGTCGCCTGTGGCACCCACTCGCTTCTAGAGCACAGCCCTGAGTTTTCCAGAAGTATTGATGTACATATTTAACAAATAAAGAAGCCTAAGCTGTGTGTTGCACTGTTATAAAGCACGACAGGCATTTGAGAACATGAGGAAAATGTAGGAAACACAAGCTGCGGGCGAGTGTTTTCTACATTTTTCGAGTGTTCTTAAATGTCCAGAGTGTTTTATCACAGTGTAATACACAGCTTAGGCTTCTTCATTTGCTTTATGATATAGACTCAGTAAAACAAGTTTTTTCTATGTTTTATACTCTAATAAAACATGGGTTTTTGACCAATCAGAGGGCGGACAGGGTCCTATCTATATTACATATTAAAAGGATATTGGTAAGACAACTGTTTCTGTAAGGCTACAGTCTAAGACCAGGCCTGAAGGTACTCCAAGAGTAAATAGTGCCAACAGGTGATGGGGTGCAAACAATAATGATGGAACCTGTTCAAATTGTAACAAAATAAATGGTTTAAAGAGAGAGAAGTAGGTGTAGCCTGATAATCAGTGTATTAGGTTGAGGCTAACTTGTCCAGCTTCCTGGCCATGTAATATATCAAACACAAAAGACTGTGTTTGACCACATCTCTAAACACTGAGAAGAGGGTTGAAAATACGATGCGCAGCAGAGTATTTTTGGCGAACTTAGAGGTGTTTGGAAATGTGGTCAAACACTATCTTGAGTATTTGATATATCTTCTCAATCAAGACTAAAACTAAAGAGAAAACAGAGAAATATAATTGTTAAAATCTATGCTAATTAAGATCAGATATCCAAACACTGTCACGATCATGATTTCCTTTGTTTGAACTTAATGAATTATTAATGAGTTTGAGATGAGCGGTTCAACTCAGTGTTGTAAAACCAAGACCAAAGTTATCACTCTGGCCTATCACAAAAGACACAGACAATCCAATGAACAAATCAAAACTTGAACTTATGAAAGTAGCTCATGTGAAAAGCGGAAAAACATAAACGAACGATTGGTTATTGGTTTGGTTTAAATTCTGATTGGATGAAAAAGTGGTGCGACTTTTTTAAGCCAATCATATGGCATTGTAATGCAAGACCAATTATTTTTCGACTCTCATAACACAAGTGAATACCATTATATACTGTCTGTCAAGAGATTTGTTCACTTGGGTGAAATGAAGCACTGGCAATGATAGCACATGTACATTAATTTGTAAACTGCACAGATTTTCAAAAAGACAAAACAAAGGCAACAACTGGGATTAGCTACGGACCTCTGATATGGCAAATACATATTAAATCAAATACATGGATAACATGAAGAAACATTTTAAATTTGTTTTTATAAATATGCATATTTTACACAATTTTCCACCAAGTGTTTAATATATAAATTATAGAAAAGAAAGATGAATTATTAAAAGATCTCTTTAATTGTAGAATTAAATCACAATTTTATACCTCAAAGTGCTTGAAAAGAACTTTTGCAATTGTATTCCTCCAAAGAGTTGAGCAAAGCACAGACTCGCAAATAACCACTCTTCTGTCACGTGGGTTAACAAGAAGGTACCTGATATGGGAAAAGGTAACTTTTGTTTTATTTTAACCTTAAGTACATGTACACAATTTATGCTTCAAAATTTTGTTATAATCAGTAACACTCAATCTTCAAATTGAAACAAATAATTTCTGACTTTTCCCTAAGTTAGTCCAAATTATTTTTTATTTTATTATTATTATTCTAAAGTCTTGAACAATAACAACTTTTTAAAACATAAACAAGTGAATATTAAGGTTAATGGCTGACGTTTCAGAGTCATTGTGATACCATTCTCAAGACAAAGTGAATAAATTAAATAAATATGATCTTCAAATCTTTGCATTAATCTATTCACTTTGTCTTGAGAATGGTGTCACGATAATACTGAAATGTCGGCTCTTAACCTTAATATTCTCTTGTTTATATCATTATTTTAAATAATGTTCATTTATTTGATCAGATGCCTAATGTGCTAAATTCCCTGTCAGTGAGTTTTCCCTGAACTGGCAAATATTTTCCGAAACATTTTTTCTGACATTTGGCAACCCTGATAGTCTCTGTAATGTCTGAATTAACAGGGTTCAATTGCAAGTGTATGACTTGCAATACTCCATGAACTTTGCAATTTGAAGTGTTCATTCACATATCCTACTCTGTTCACCTGCTTGATTATATTTAATTCAACTCATCAAAAGAAATTAGAAAATAGTGCAAAGAGTCTAAATATGTGCTGATAAAATGGTTTAAAATCATGTTTCTGTAACTCGACAGAAACTCAAGAAAGCTGTGGAAACGCTTGCCTCTCAGCTCATGTTCCCACAATGCTCAATTCTCATTCTCCCAAACTTCCACTTGTGTTTCTCAGTACGATAGAAATGCAATACGTTTTCTATTTCTTAACAATTGTTTTGCATGCTAGTTTGGCCTTACCTGAAGTACACTTGGTGGAGAAAGTCTCTAAGGATAGCATACAATTCATCAGGCCTTCTATCTTGTTCATTGGTAATAACATTCACTGTTTCTGTCTGAATAGGGAAAAAACCACAAACCATTGTGTGCAAAATGAAAATTAACAGGTTGTATTTTGGAAACTTCCAAATACAGTGTAATCCTGTCATTTTTTAAATCTGGACTTGATTTTTCAAACCTCTCAATAACTGTAATTTACCCCAATTTTTGAAACTGTACACAACTTTTCAAACTAATGTTCGTTTCCCTAGGAGCAGGGCTTGAAAAAGGGCTTGAAAAACTTGAATTCCAGCTTGCCCTTCAGAGCATGTAGCTCTCAAATTTTTCCTGCCCTGGGAAAGTCAAGATTAGTTTACTTTTATTGTGTTTTAGTTTGCCAATGACTTGCCTGGGTCCTTGACCATTGGGAAAGTGAAAATGAAAAATAACTTGCCTGGTAGAAAAATTTACATGTTTATTTTTTTGAGCCCTGAGGAGGTTCAAAAAATTGTGATTCCAATGCAATTGGCTATAAGACTTTGAAAATTTCACTTGAGGTGTACCGTAAGCGATATTAATTATAAATGGTACCTCTCCATTTATTGTGTGTGTGACGACACTGCGAATGATGTGACGAGGACTTGTCTCTGAAGCAAAACCACATCTGAATACAAAAGCACAACATCTTTATTTAAAGATTTAAACTAAGACAACAATATTGATAATAATCACTTGAGGTGTAAGCAATATTATTTATAAATGGTACCTCTCCATTTATTGTGTGTTTGACGACATGCAATATTATTAATAACAGGGCGCGGCAAACAGATGTGTCCACAAGTTCCAGAGGACTGATGTGGACCTTTAGACAAATATGTTATTGATTGTGCCTGTCCTTAAGAGCAGACAAGCAATTTACTCTTCCTTACTTACTGTTAATGGTGTTTTACTACTACTACTACCAAGTTTCCAAGGCTGCTACTGACAGTCACAGAGGGTGTGCCAGTAATTAGTACAGCTTTCAGGTTCATGAATTCTCAGTCAAAATATATCATATAACCTTGACATTCCCAAGTTGCTGACCTATTTAATTATTGATTGTGATTGGTTCTCTGCATCTCTATTTGTGATGTAATTGGTGTAAAATCATCTGGGTGTCCATTTTCAGCTTTCTGAAATTGGATACCTGGAATTATAGAAATCTACAGCATTTGCAGGTTAACTGCATGCGCCTTATTGTTGTTGCCCCCCAGTTCTCCACTTAAAAGCAGTTCTCAAAGTATTTCCAAACTTGAATAGGCCATATTTGTACTGTCGGTACTGGACTGGAACTAGCTTGCAACTAAGGCTTACATGGGGAGTCTTTTCAAATGCAAATGATATTAATCTCGTTTTAATGATACTCACCTACATGAGCCTCCATTGTACGCTAATTCTACCCCAATACCAAGAAAACGAATATAGCCTATTTTGATGTTGATAGGCTTAATTAGTACCTGAACTATCCTTTGTACAATTCAGAGAGTAATTGTCAATTGTGACCCAGTGGTGGATTTGTAATTTAAAAAAATTATTGTACAGTAAAACACTTAAAATACAACAGCTATAGCTACCCAGATCATGATCAGCTATATATGAGCTTATAACAACAACCCGCGTGGGTTTATTGCGCCGATAAACCCATAGAAATCTGAGCGGTCTGTTGCTAAAATAAAGGCTGGGTGTCGTTGTAAAGCTTACTGTGTACTCAATATAAGACCCTTCTTACTTTGTATAGGCTGCCCCAATGTCGATAACAACAGCATGCTTTTCTCCCCCAAGTCCAATAACGTCAAACAAAGGCATTATATCTCTGTCATCTCAAAGGAAAAGTTCAAAACACATCAGAAATTCACAGCAATCTTCGAAATCTTCTGTATCCTGTGAAATAGCTCCTGAAAGCTTCTGAACGATTCTTGAACGAAAACGAGGCCATCTAACCTACCGCAAACACAACAATCAGCGGCTACAAACATGAGTACCTTATTTCCGGTATTCCCAGTCTTCTGCTGGCGTGGGAGATTGCGCTTCCGGTTTTCCGGCTCCGCTTTCTTTCAAAATGGCGGGAGAGGCTGAAAATTTCGATGTTGTGGTTGTCGGTTCTTGCATGACAGACCTCGTGAGGTAGGCTTGGCGACAGCCTTAGCATCTCCTGCATAACCACGCGAAAAGTATTTTGCATAACTGTTCTACTTTCGCTCTTCTACAGCTTCGTTCCGCGGCTCCCAAAAGCGGGCGAAACCATACATGGCGAGAAATTCTTGATGGGCTTCGGTGGTAAAGGAGCGAATCAATGTGTCATGGCTGCTCGACTGGGAGCTAAAACAGCAATGGTCGCCAAAGTGAGTACCACATGATTTAAACGAAATGAGATGGTGATATTCTTCATTCAAGACACAGAGAACTGTGTTGACTATTAAACATGTGGGCATGTTCACAGTTTAAATTTTGCCGGCAAGCAAATTTGCAATTTGTAGCCATCACTACCAACATGTGTTTGGTTTTCCGAGGACCTGGTTGATGATTTCGTGCTTTTAATTGCTATTTTTTCTAAGGTGTGTAGAAGCAAATGTAGTTGTGTCTTTTTTTTGAGCATCAGGTATTGTACAGTACATTTTCCTAATCAATGGGAATTTGTAAGCTACGCTTAGCTTACATGTTGAATACGTACCGGCCTTGAATTAGGTTCTTAACCTTTTTATCATTTCCATAATGTTGTCCACCTTGTCTTCTTGGTTGTTTAGATCAGGTAAAGATGTTGCCCATTTCTTTTATTGTTTGTGTTTAATATGGAAGTATTAAACTGGGTAAAGAGCTCAAGAAATGAAATCTATAGGTATCACAGAAAAAATAAACTGCACGCCTCGGTATGTTTTAATTGAAGTTAATCACTTCTAAAAACTCAATTCTCGATTTGAGTCATATGGAATGCTTGCGAAATCGCCGATGGCGAGAAATGAAAATAACAAAAGTAAACAGACTATGCGAGACTTCTATTTGTTGCCTTTAAAAACTAGATGAAACTGCCAACGGTACTTCAATTTTAATTACACAACTTCTGACGAACAAGTGCGAAAATCGACTAAGCGATCTCTGGATTGTTCTGTACAAAAGATTTCTCTTGCCATTTTAAAGAAACACTTCAAGTTCAGCTGGAAAATAATCGATGCGTTTTGGCAAAAGTCGTTAATCTTCTGTTCATCCCTGTTGTGATGTAATTAAATTCTTGGACAATGTCAATTGCTAAATCTCTTTTAATGGTTCAGACAAGTTCCTCCATTGAAATGCAAATTTTCCAGACTCCAGTCGAGCAGCTGTTTGCTAGACAGAAAGAGGAAAGATAAGCTTAAAACATCCCATGCTCTTTTGAAAGTACGCTTCCTATTTGGGAAGTTTGTATTCATGAGTGTTTGTCTGGGTAGTTGAGTGACAGTAAAATTGACAGAAGAACCACCAGGAATGTTATTCCTTTGTGAGATCTATAGACTCTCAGATATTTAGACAGCCTTAGAGATAATCTTAACAAATAAGTGACAAATATTTGGAGTTGGTAGGGACGAGCCTGTGTTTTGAGTGTTGGTTTAGCTTTCTTGGAATGGAGTGAATACATCTGTGTACTAATCTTCTTTGCAAGCAGTTGACTTTCAACTTGGGTCGTGAACATGGAATCTGTATGACAGTTCTGAGAGCCGCAATTCTATACTTTGTGGATGAACCCGTAATTAGTGTTACATGGCGTGACCTCACTTATGCCCATTGGCATGTTAAATATAACTATTCAAATCTCTTTCATGCTGGTTTTAAAAAGCTTGGACAAAATGTGGCAAACAATCAGTTTACACAAAATTTAGAGGAGATTCCCTTGTTCAAACTTTTACTACAGAGTGCATCTAAAAGTATGCACAACAAGCTATAAATTAGAGCTTTCTCACTTTACTTAGCAGAGAGCAGAATTGTCTGTTTGAATGTTTACATTCTGTTTAGCAAAACATGCTGTATTATCATTTGTGTTATGTGTTTCTTCATTTTGATTGGCTATGGGATTTGTCAAAAGCATCAAGGCTGCAAAGAAAAATCAATCATGGGAGTAAAAAGAACTCAATAATTTTTTGAGTTGTCTCCTGACATGTGAAGCTGATTACCTTCAGTAACCAGCCAGTATCTCTATTCAGTTTAAGCATTTTGAATCTAGCTATTTCAGCTATCATAGTCCTACTGATTCATTCTGTGCTGTCTATGAAACATGACTTTTGTTGCATTCTGTCCCTGATGAGGTCAGGGCAGGGTATTTTGTTAAACACAATTAACCATGCAGTTATGTCTACAAGTGGCTAGGAGAATGATGTGCTAATCATACCTCTGTAAACTTTTCTCTAGGTTGGCGATGACTCCTTTGGAGAGCGATACATTGAGAATTTTAAACAAAATGGTGTAAACACAGGTTCGTTTTATTTATACAATGCATCATTTGCATTGATTTTCAAACTGACATTTGTTTTGAAACTCTGTGGCTTGATCACATACAAATATTTATAGTCGTGTAATACAAACATTTGTTAAAATAATTTGTTAGGCAGCTAATGGCTGACGTATTAATTCTGACCTCTCACTGTTGACCTTTTACAGGTCATGTGGGGATAACAAAAGAGGCTGCTACAGGGGTTGCTCCAATTTCAGTTAATGCAAATGGTAAATGGTAACTGCTTTACGTCATTTGTATGGGTAGTCAAATGGTGACGAGTGAAACTACGAAATAACTTCACACGTTTTGTGAAAATTCTAATAATTTTTTTGAGCCTTTTGGCAAGGGATATTACAGTATTAGAATTCTGACAAAAGGTAAGTGAATTTATTTATTTATTTTACGAGTATAACATTTGGTTGGTTACCTTTTAATCTTATGGGTGACAAATTACACCTACAATCCTGGGTTTTTGACTTGTTTATTGTTAGTGAGAAATTTCTCACCAAACATTGCCATGGTAATTTTGTAATTTCTCATGTGAAATTATAAAGTAACACTGAAATTTTGCTCCAAAATTAAGGAATAATATATTTGTCACCCATAATATTGAAGCTATAATTCATTCTTAATAAAGTGTACAAACATTGGCCCTTTAGAGGAAGTTGCTATGGTCTCTCTGAGTGCACCTTGACAGGTGCTGCCAAAATGGAGGCACCTTAATATATTTTTATAGAAAGTGCTGTATTTGTTGTTTATTGTAGTAGCTGTTGATCATTTGAATCTGTTTTATTTGTAGGAGAGAATTCCATTGTCATTGTGAGTGGGGCTAATGATATTCTCTCTGAAGAAGACATAAAAAGGGCAAAGTCTGTAATATCATCATCGTCAGTTTGCGTTTGTCAACTGGAAATAAATCCAGAAGTGACACATTACACGCTATCTCTTGCAAAGAAAGCTGGAGGTGAGTATTGCAGGAAGTGCAATGTTCAGATTAGTTATTTTACCCAGTGATATTTATTTTACCCCATCCAGGGGAGGGGGTGAGGGGCAGGGGGCAGGGGCATAGCTTTAAATACTCCTAGTCACTTAATGCTTTGGAAATGGGGATAAACTCTAGTCGTAACGTTGACCACTTGGCCAGATGCAGACTTCTAAATTACCTTTTTGCCTGACAAAGGTTGAGAATAACCAATCGTAAGTCACCACATGCAGTAGATATCAAAGTTTTTTGATGCTATGTTTATTACCTGCCTGTTTGCAAACTGTATGAGACTGTACTTATTTCCTTTTATCTTTGCAGTGCAAACAATCTTCAACCCTGCTCCAGCCTTGTCATGGTTGGATTATTTTTATTATAGACTAAGTGATGTATTTTGTGCAAATGAAAGTGAGGTAAGAATATTCACTTGATAAATTCTAATTGATGAAAAATAAATCTCACTGATAATTTATTGTCACATTTACAGTTTGTAATATTTTCTTCATTGTGGTCATCTGATTGTTTCCAAAGATGCACATCAATTTAATAGCAGAGTGGTAAAGCAATGTATTTTTTGAACACCTGTAAGAATATTTTTTTCATGTTCTTACCAGCTGGAAATGTTTTGTGCAAGTCAAACGTCTTGTGAACATATACCCCTGGGACCTGAAAAAGTGTCTACAGGTCCGCTTTGGTCAGAGGTATCTCCATAATGGAAGATTAAAAATATCATGTTTTTAATGGTTTGGACCATGACTGAGTGTCCACTGACAGGAGGTGTCCATTAGTCAGAAGTCACATGCAACCACCGCTGCCCCACTCCACAATGCAAAACCAAAGGCTGTCCTTTCTTTCTCTGTGGTTCTTCGCAAGTCTCCCTCTGTCTACCACATTGTCTCTTTCCCTCTGGAGCCCTGGTTGAATGCCATCTTGGGATGTTGGAACTTGGCATTCATTCTGAGGTTGAGGCCAAAGAACCTCCAGTGCCTCTGGTATACTTGTTTACTGATGGTGCTGATGTAAGCCTTGTTTAATTAATACAATATTTGTTATTTTTGTTTCAGGCGGAACTATTAACAGGCTTATCAGTAAAAACAATAGATGATGCTGAGAAAGCTGTGCTCATGATATTGGAGAGAGGAGCTGGAAAAGCTGTGATAACTCTTGGTGGAAAAGGTTCTGTTATTGGGACTCAGGAAAACCGCATGCCAAAACACATTCCAGTTACGCCTGCAGAACCTGTTGATACAACGGTAACTTACTACTCATATGCAGCGCATTTAATAATTATTTTCTGGAAATTAATATTAATAATTAAAATTAGTTTAGTGCATAGGAGTTCAAGAAGCTTCATAACATGGTTGGCATTGCGCTTTGTTCTTGCTAACAATCTGCCATGCAGGACTGGTCTGGGTTGTTTGAAAGGTGGATAATGCTATCCACGGGATAAATCAGTATCCAACGTAACGGATAGCCTGTTTTTTATAATCATCAACTAAATAGTGATTTATCCATCTTTCAAACAACTGGTACCTGGTTTTTTCTCACTTTTGGGTGATGACATGAGGTACTGTGTGGATCACTGTCAGCATGGCTAAAATGTTATGTCATTTGTGTGGAATTTTTCAGTTGAATCTCAGACATCTAATTCTTGATAACAGGAAGAATCGGCATGCATTCATTAAGAGAGACATCTTTTAATTGACTAACTAAGGTTCTAAGGTATTCTATTACATTGAAACATTTGAATATGACAATAATTCATGTCTGGTATCATTGCTGTTAGGGTGCTGGAGATGCGTTTATTGGAGCTCTAGCATTTTACATGGCAAAATTCAAAGACCGGCTTCCCTTTGATGAGATGGTTAGGAGATCAGGTGAAATTGCTCGAGCGACAGTACTGGCCAAAGGGACACAGTCAAGTTATCCGAAAAGAAAAGAACTGCCCCCTTCTCTCTTTAGCAATACTGTTCCAAGAGACAGGTTATCATCAACGTGAACTTCAGAAGTCTTATAATAATCAAGAACAAATTATATTATTTTCAGTAATAATAATAATATTATAATTATTATTATGTATCGCTCTAAATATTATTGCTGTTTGTGGAGTTGAGTAATGACGTACATGGCAGCTTTTAAGGAGTGTCTTCAGGTGAAAGAAAAAAATGTACAGCACATTGGTTGTCTAGATACAGCCAAACCCATATCATCCTTGTGGGCACCTTTATGGTACAAGCAGTTCACTTGGTCTCAGGGAAACTGAGTTGAATTTCGTAATTATTATTACCTCTGCAGTGGGGACACCTTGTTACTACATCTACCACTTCATTTGTTCCTGTAATGAACAAAGTTTGATTTGCCTTTTTTTCCTGTTCACTTCTGTCATATTTATGAACACCCAGATACAAGGAATGTCTCCGTATCCATCACTACTCGTCAGGAGATTTAATGATAATATTTTTGGACTCCTGTAATTAACAGCATCTGATCAGTGTTTTCTTGTCACAACATGACATAATCTTTTGATCTTAATAAGCTTTTAGCCAGATGGGTGTTCAGGCATCCTGTGGACTCCCACTTTTTAAAGAAAAGTGTTGTAATTTTCATGTTGCTTTATAAATCGTTCCCTTTCAGCACATTTTGGACACCCACTCCTCAAATCCTGGCTAAAAGCCTGCCTGCCTCCAAAATCACTATTAGGATTAATAAATAATAAATAAAATTTATATAGGGCAATGAATGATAAAGTGTGATTTTCATAATATCATCACTGACAGAAAAATGTTTCTTAGAGATGAATTGATTTTTTAAAACATTATTTTCTGCTTTTGTACCAGTTATGAGAATTTAAATTACAGTTCAACAAGATAATCATGTATCTCTTAATTGCGCTGTTTTGAATTGCAATAGGTCTCTGTTTGACATTGAATTGATATAAACAGCAACAAATAAGATTGTGGGTATTTTTTTTTCTTGTTGGTGTGCGTGCAGTGAATAGCCCAGATGGCAGAGACAAATATTTTGAATCCCTGAAAGATTCTACCATGAATAATGTTGATGGTGATGTTGGTCACTTACATATAATATTTTGGTCTAAATCTACTTAAAATTTAGATTTAAATGGCTTCCTACAAAAAAACAGGTACTACGCTGGGTAGAAGGTGGTATTGATTAAAAATTATTAACGGAACGAGACTCAGCACTAGTTAGTTTAATCTTATTTTCTCAGAAACTTTAACTGTTCATAATAAACATGGAGCTTAAATTAAATTTGTGTCAAGGTCCTTTCTTACAAATCGCAAAAGTGTGAGTGTTTGAAAGCTATCAACAACAATTTGAACCTTGTATATAATATATGAACACTAAAGACCACATTTTCAAAGATGGAGTGGAGAGTTGAAAGTATGGCGTGCAGCAGAGTATATTTGACGAACTTCAAACACTGTCTTGAGTGTTCAATATTATTGTCTCAATCGAAAGTAAAACTCGGGAGAAAAAAAAACTGAGCTAATTAAGATCAGACATCCAAACACTGTCATGGTCATGACTTTGATAAATTATTTATGAGTTTGAAAAAGCATGATTGTTTCGTTCACAAAAGAGCGTGTGTTATTTTAAGCCTGCACATGCTTAGATATGCATGAATAATCGCAGTTAACGTATTAGCATATTCTATCCGTTTTTCACAATCAGTGTTCTTGTAATGGTTACTGTAGATTTTGAGTTGTAGTTTTGTTTTGCTGTAACTCTCTTGAGCTGCCGGGTAAGTGTTAGTCATGAGGCATCGAACTTCACTTTGCTTTTCTTCATTTAGTTTCATGTTTGTTCACACCTGTATATATTTCTAGGTTTCGAAGTAATTACCAATGAATGGAATTAAATTGTGACTAAAGTGTCCACTGATACTTTGATAACGGTGAATTGTACAGTGAATGAAGCAACAATGAACAATACCAAATGAAGTATTCCTGAATAGCTCTTATTTTAAATAGCTGCTTTAAGCAAGGTTTCACCTGCTAGGGTTTAGGAGTTAAATGCTTTTCATGCTGCCTGGACTTGCAAAAAATGGCAAACAGTGAAGTTCTCATGTACTAAAGGGAGGCTGGCTTTGACTTAAACTATTCCAAATATTTCGCTTGCACATGATTGGTCTAAACACGTCACACAACTAAATATGCCACAGTTAATGCTGACAAATATCTGAGTGATATTCCCCAATTTTAAAAACCGCACGTGTTGTGAAAAATACTTGAAGGATAATAAACACAGCCTCTATTTGGCATGAAAATATGCTTGGATGAGTGTCCTTGGACATTATCTGTTCCTCAAAGCTCACAGATTTCTTCAAGCTACACTCGCAGAAAATTGTTCGCTTCTTAGAGCAGATAATGTCTGCAGACAAATATCTGAGCATATTTTCGCACCAAATTAATGGAGATTATTGTTTATATGTATCACACTTAATGTTCATGTTACAGATAAGTGGCATTGAAATTATTGAATATAAACGATCTTTACAAAACTTAACAGATTACTATTGTATACCTAGGATCCTGGTTAATCACATGCTCTTAGAGTACTGAAAACAAGTTCATGAATTATTCATTGATAACCTAGATATGGTCCTCGCATTTCACTATGTTAAATTGTCAAGAATAAAAAAATTCTTTAGTCTCGAGTGTATATATCTTTGCTTTGTTAAATAACATTTTGTGGCAACATGGCGATCCTCAAACACTCTGAATATATTTTCTTTTCTGCTGCTTGAGGCACATGTCCAAAGTTTTAAGATGATGATGCTAGCTTATTCTGCAAATATGAATGTTTCTATGTTGTCTGTCTATGTTTCCAGTGCTTATTGCTTGCCCTTCTTGACCTTTTGTTCCACAAATAGCACATGCTTGTTCACTAGGGAACAAAAAAGGGATGTGAGATGGTAAACAAGATTTATATCAGAATAATTTTTTCTGTCTGTCTCTCTGTCTGTCCCTCCATCAGACAGTCAGTCTTTGTTAATATATAATTATTATTAGGTAGCTCCATATTATCCCATTTAAAACAGCCAAAACGTTTAATCTGATTTTTGTCAATTCAGTTATTTTCCAAATGTAAAACGTCCCTAAATTCTCACAACACAGACTACTGCCAGAGAAAACTGACTAAACAAATGGCAGATAAATTGTTTTTTTTTTTGCTTTTTGTATTTTTTTTGACAAAACAGTTTTCACATAATTATAGATATTTCCAGAGGCTTCACAATTTGCCTCAGAGATTTCCTTACCATGGATATGCAATATTCTAATTATGAATAAATATATGTAGAATACCATTTGGTCTATACATCCAGCAGGAGCTGACAGCTTAGGCTTAAAATTAGTAGTAACATTTCTGAAAAGTCTAAGAGGGTCCAACATAGACTTTTTCACTCCTGCATCTGGCCGCTATTTTAGCTCAATCCTTCCACAATCAGAATGTTTCTCTTGATCTGGCCTGGTTGAAGATGCAGTTCTCCACATAACACATGATTTTCTGTTATCATCCCGTAACCTGCATCTCCCTGATCAAAATAAGAAAATCCTGCTCCCACCAAAGTATTTTTATCCTGTGTCCTGCCATTAAATTTTCTGTCATTCTACATCCTGCCTTCATTTTTTCTCTTATCCTGCATCCCACCAAACCTATGTTGGACCCTCAAACACCGGTAGGTATGTGCAAGTGGTTTAAATTTGCTTTTGGCTTTTCAGATCATGTACATGTATCAGTTTGATTGCATTTTTACTTTCCTTTGTCTGGAACACATGTGATTCTTAAACTGTTGCTTACCAATAGGATCATGTTTCATAAACTCCAGCTTGGGTTTAAGTCTGTTTCTTGTCATCATGTAGTAATACCCTGTCCCAGCCATGCTAACAAGGCGTACAATTATACGTCTAAAGAGAAATAACAGAGTCAAGATTGAAAAACTTTCAGAGGAGAACACAAAATTTACAGTTATGCTAAGATCTGTGCAACATGTGTAAACAGAGGTCTTTGAATGCTAATGTTTTGTGTTATGAGAGATTTCCCACAATACTGAAAATCCATGACATGTATGAAACTTTTCAGACACTGAGTTGCCAAGAGGTGTGAGGCAGTTTCTGGCAGTTTTGTAGTCTGTCCGAAATTGCCTTGCATCCGCGTTGAATTAAATAAGACAAATTAACCATAAAAAGGGGTATTTAACTGTAGGTCTACGTCTCAAGAACTGGTTCCAAGTTCCCTCTAACACTCCAACCCCTACCCCTGCTTGAGGAATTATTTTGTATTGTGAGAAGATAAGAGTAAATGTGAATGAATATGACATAGTTCAACAACAGACCCCTACTTCCCATCTACATTACCGTAGAAATTTCAATTTCGGTATATCATTCTTAAGTCTTCTGCATTATTGCAGAACACTCTGGTAGACGCAACGCATGTGCTTTGCAGAACGAAGCATTAAACTGTACTCCTCTTAGAGTGCAAATACACGGTTGTGTATTCTTCTGTAAAGCAAAAGATTCAAACTTAAGCAGCTGGGGTTTCAGCTAACATTATCCCTCACAACTGTAGCAAATCGTAATAAGGTCGTCAAACATAGCCGTGAACCTAGAGGCTCGCCTAGTGTGGTTTGCAAAGACTAGCCACTTACTTTGATTTTGACTTTACCACTGAAATCGAAAGTAAACCGAAAATTAGCAAAAGACAAGAATAAGCTTAGAAAAGGAAAGGAAAAAAGGAAAAAAGCAGCAAAAAATAGCTTACTTCTTTGCTTTTGGAAAATGCACGAACCTAAGATGGTGATCTTTAATGTGTCATGTAAGAGTCCATGAAAAGTATACTTTTTTAGAAATCGCAAAGGTCTACGGGATATCGCGCGAAAGAGTTTCAATATGGCGCGTCCCAAAGACAATTTTAACTTGATAAGCTTATGTTTTTGTTTACTTCTAACATAAGAAGAGAAACTCATTTGACTAATTAGATTACTGATGTCGAATAACTGAAGTAACTGCTCAGCTCTCCAAGAATGATCCGCCCTTTGCAGGAAGAAGTACGTTCCCATTTGAGATCAGGGGTCGCTATCACAAACCTGACGCAGTGTGTGGAAGAACTTATTTTGAACAGCCTGGATGCTGAAGCTTCCTGCATAACAGTTCGAATAGACATCCCTAATTTCAAGATTCAAGTGTCTGACAATGGTAATGGAATCGCCTTTGAAGATTTGAAATCTGTCGGAGAACGATACTCGAGTAGTAAATGCCACGTTCTTGAAGATCTGCAACAGCCGAGTTTTTACGGATTCAGAGGAGAAGCGCTTGCAAGCTTACGTGAGATGTGCGATGTGCTAGAATTAGTCACTCGCCACCGGTCTTCTTATCACACTTACTGCAAAATCTTTCGAAATTCGCAAGTTCTGGAACTCACAGAGTCTAGATTTCCAAGAACTAGCGCTGGAACAAGTGTAACAATTCATGGCATTTTCGCAAACCTTCCAGTAAGGCGGAAAGCCATCTCTGAAATTCTTGATTTTGAACGTGTTCGGCACAGAATTGCGTCCGTTGCTCTCATTCACCCTAAGACATCATTCTTGTTAATTAATGATTCAACCGGTTCAAAATGCCTCCAAACTCATGTCTGCAAGTCGGTTGTCTCCACTTTCTCTCAGCTGTTTGGTAACCAAAGATCCAAGAATCTGCAGCCAGTCACATTTGAGCACAAGAATTTCAAAGTTTCAGGTTTCATTTCAACTGACACTCACCACAGTAAGAGCTTGCAATTTTTGTTTGTCAATGGCCGTCTTCTATTGAAGACAAGTATTCACAAGCTGGTTAATAACATTCTTGGGAAATCCGAGCTTTTAAGAAAATTGCCTTTGGTTGAGGTTAAAGAAAGTATCAGATCAGAAGGCTATCAGAGTAAAACAACAAGTCCTCAACATGGAAAGATTGTTGACAAATATGGCATTTTTGTCCTCAACATAGAGTGTCTTGTCACTGAATTTGACATTTGCCTTGAACCAGCAAAGACTTTGATTGAATTTCAGGACTGGGACAAAGTCCTCTATTGCACAAAAAGATGTATTGAAGAATTTCTGATTAAAAACAATTTGATTTTAAACTTTGATGATTCCGCAAACTCAACAGAATCGGAAGCTAATGATGATGACTGTCACTCAGGGGATTCATGGCGCCCCACAAATCTTGAGGCTTTTGAGTACAAAAGAGAGATTGAAACGTGTAATGTGAAGAAAAGTCTACACTCTTCCACTGTGTTTAGGTCAAAAAGGGAATGTGTGAGCCAAGAGAAAACTTCTAGCTGCATTGAGAAAGGGCTTTCAGATTTTTTACTTTCTGATAGAAAACTCAGTCACATCAATTGTGATGCTAAGGCAACTTCAAATGATTTTATTTCTGGAGATCTCACAGCTTTGGGTTCTGAGTCTGTTTCAAGAGTAGCAGTCTCAGATACTGTGACAGTAAATGTAGACAAACATTTCTCTTTTTGCACCAACAAAGATGCAAAACACTTGAATGAAAGTACAAAGCAAGTTGCTTGTAATGACAAGACAACATGCCATGTACCTCACACAGAAGGCTGTGCCTCAATTACTAAATCAGTCGCTGTCAAAGAGGTTCAAAATGAAACAGATGACATACGTGCAACTGCAGATCTTGTATGCGCATTGTCAGATGTCAGCAATTGTTGTGTTTTAAGTGACTTGGAACACATTTCTTCCAGTCATTCTGGTGATAATGGTGTCGGGCACCGTGCAACAACTCTTTTGAATGACCTCTCAAACAAGAATGGTAAAGGTAGAGTATGTACTTCTAGTACATTCACAAGAACTACATGTGATAAGGTCTTGGGTTCATCAGTCTCTGTTGAGAAACCTGACTGTCTGCCAGTAAAACGCAATGGATCTGGTTTTGTTCACTCAGCTAACCCGGAGAGATTTATACCTTTGTCAAGCAGAAGTCATGACCCAGAGCCCTCTGTTACATTACGTAGAAGGACTGAAACCTCTAGCACAAAGATTAACAAAGCAAGAACTTTCACAATGCCGGCATTCACTTCTCCACGCCCTATCACACTGAAAGGGCAGCGCACAAGAAAGAGACATCAGAGCAGCAAGGAAACATCTGTAGCTGAGCTGGCATTGCCATCAAAGAATAGAAAACTGATCACATTACACGGAGGCTGTCAAAGAAGAGTTAGAGGTGGTTGCAATAACGCAGGACAATTATTAGCTAATGTTAAGGATGGAGAAGGTAGGGATTGTGATACAAACTGTAGCCACAATACACACAAGCCTGAAGATAATTGTAGCAGTAAGCTTTCGGCAACCTCTGGTGATAATATTGTGACTCGAACTGGTACATGCACGTTGTCAAATACTGCCATATGCAACAGTGAAGTTAACTGCGATGCTTCCATTTCTGGTTTGTCTGTGCCAATTGACAAGACCTTTGAGACAGATCATTCTAACAATCTCATTCAACAATGTTTGGGAGATTCTGGGGACCAAATGTGTGGGACAAGATTTAGCACTGAAAACAAGAATTGTGAAGAACATGACAGTCTAAGCTGTGTGGGTTCAAACTTAAATGTTACTGCAAAACAAAGGAATGCACACAAACGTACAGAATATTTTGACTGTGCTCAGAAAGAGAGTGAAGGAAATGAAGTGTTTCTGGAGCAGGATGAAAATCATTGCTCAGTGATGGCAGAGTCAAACTCAGAGCCTAAATTAATATCAGTTGACAATAATGACATTGACGAAGGACCAAACTTTCCCAATGAGGACTGGCATTGTACATTTGATGTGCTACTTGGAAAAAAAGTCTTTATCAACACTCGAACTGGGCACTCGTCTTTTCAAGCTCCCTGCGGATTTAACATTAAAGATGATGACTGCTCTGGGCAGATTGTACCTGAAGCTAATGAGATAGCAAAACACTGTTCCCAGCACTTGCCACACCCATGTGCTTCCCACCTGTCATTTTCATGCACTCCATGGCTTCCACGAGGGGACCGAAGACGGCAAAAATCTGTTTGTGATGATGGAAATGGTGTTCTGTGTTCTCAAGGTATGTACACATAATGTCATTGGCAAATCTACTGTTTTGTAAAACTAATGGTAATACTTGATTTCTGACTTGACATGTATGCGATACATGTTATAAAATACTTTCAGTGGTAGATGCACTGGCCTAATGTTCAGTTGGACTTGAGGTCAGGTTCCTGTCTGCTGGTTGGGGTCACTGATTAGTGTTCTTGGGCAAGACACTTTACTCACAGTGCTTCTCATGGGTAAAAAAGGTTAAGTCTGCATATGAGTCAAGTGGCGCATCAGGCCAGAGCTTTTCCCGGTTTCTGTAGCATGAAGTGAGTATTTCAACTCCCCACTGGATGGGATGCTGGTACATCGCAGGGTTACCCCCAGCATTAAATTGGCTGTTACCCATTTGTACAGCTGGGTGGAGAGAGGCACCCTGAGTAAAAGTGTCTTGCCCAAGATCACAACACAATGTCCCCAGCCAGGACTTGAACCTGGATTGCTTTGTCTGGAGTCAAGCGTACTAACCATGAGGCCACAGCACCCTCAGGCTTCTCATAGTCTAGGTTTATAAATGAGTACAGTCAAAATGGAGATGAGACCTACCCAGAATCCTACTCAGGGAAAACCTACAAGGACTCATAACCTACCTTGGGGAGGGTCAGGGCCTCAGGGGTTTTTTGAGGCCTGTTTTTAGTATAAATAGTATCCCAAGTTGTGTGTGTAACTTGGTGAAGGATTCAGTTGTTCAGTTATCTTGCAAAATTACAGTGCAATCCCAGTTTGTAGACTTACTTTGGGGCACGGAATTCAAAGTGGTTTGAAAAATCACACTGGGAGGTTTAAAACATCAAGAGCATTTTTTTTCCTTGACACTTTTGCCAAGGAAAATAGTATTCATCTTGTAAGTTGCCTTAAGTAAATAATCAGGAGGTTGGAAAAAAGTTTGTAAACATGTACATCTAGACTACTTTGTCACTCCTTCAGACTTTCTCTACTTATTGCCCTGTTGCCTTCTCTTTCCCACCCTCTTCATTCATTGATGTAATATTAAGGTCAGTTTATCATTACAGACTTGCCTATGTCTCAGTTGAATGATCTATACAAGGAACACTTAGAACAGAAAGAAACAGAGGAAAAGCTCTGCAAATGGAAGGATGCCAACATGTTGCAAGCTTACGAACGAGATGTGTTAAATAACAGAAGCAAAACTGTGGCACAACTGCTCGGTTCTTGGCAGAATCCTGTGTTTACTGCACCAGAAAAGGTGAGATCACATCGACAGGAATGGGTAAAGTGGCACATGAATTAAAGCACTTACTTTTGTCAATGAGATCAAGTGAACACTACTGTGCATCACTTTGAGTAAAATTTCATTTTAAATGATGTTGGGCTTTTTCACACATTAAACCTTGTAAGTTCTCATTTGCACTGTCCCTACAAAGAGAATTTAACCATGGATAGTGCCTCAGTCATAATTATTTTTGATAATGGTCCCGCTGTGCACTGGATCTCTGGTCTTCAATCCTCCCTTCCCTTTGCTTTATTTCCTAAGACTACATTAATTATTTTAGTTTTCACGTTATTGCTTATTCTTGAAAATCAGTGTTTTTATTGTATATATCTTGCAAGGATATAATGAAGATCAACAAAGCAGCCAGCGATAAGACACAGGTCTTAGTTCACAACGTGGTTCACCCATATTGCTTCACAAGAGATATGCTGACAAGCATGCGAGTACTGCGACAGCTGGATGAGAAGTTTATTGTCGGGCTAGTTTCACAAGGAGGTGAGATTGTTTCCTTTAAGAGTGAACTTACCATGTATCCCCTATGTGTAAGCATGGAAAAGTGGAAATGTGGCAAATTTCCAAAGTTTGCATTGGGAACACTATGGGCCAATAACATCATTCAGTTCTACTGAAATCCTGAAAAAAAAACAATGCCTGATGGCAGGTTACATAATTACTGACTCAAAAAGAGGACATGTTTAAAACACGGAATAGTGAAATGATGAAATGGCATCAAGGATAAGAGTCAATGTGGGATACGGGTGTCTGTAAGGGTTAACCCAATATAGTTATTGAGAGCCAACTTCTGATACATGACTGTATTTAGGTTAACCTGAGTGCTATTTAGGCTAACGAAAGCACTATTGAGGCTAACTGTTAAGTGCCATTTTGTCATTTTGTTATTTCGCCATTTCATGTTTTAAACACACCCTCAAAAATGTGGTAATCATTTTGTGACTCACTTGTCTCCTTTTCTTCATCCTTGTAGGAGAAAACAATGGCTTGCTGGTGTTAGTGGATCAACATGCTGCTCATGAGCGAGTTCGATTAGAACATCTACAATCAGGTACGCACAGCTGCAAAACAACATGAATATTTCAAGGCAAGTTGCTGCAACCACCCTCAGATGTTTTGTCACTTATAATTTTTTGAGCTTATTTTTCTGTAAGATTTATTATTATATGTATGAGAGATTTGTTTTCTTTCTCTTCTGTGTTTCTTTCTTTCGTTTTCTATTGAGAGCAATAAATTGGAGTGTACATGTATGTTAAAGCGGATCTTTTATCAGAATCACAATTATTGTGGTGTACAGAATGTATTTCCAATCTGTGATAGTGGATTTTTGTAACAAATCTCTTATTCACCAAGCTTGCTTGGAACCCTTCAGGGAAATATATGTTTGCCCTTGGTCTTTTTGTTTGGATCTCGCTGTGCTCAGTCCATAATGTCAGGACCTCAGCCTGGTTAATATTCTCCCAGTACGGTTCTCGTGCTTGGTTAATAACTAGAGATGTATGTACTGTATTTTCTGTGTTAATTTATAGAACTCTTTGAAGATGATGATACAGGTATATGCTGGAATAGAGACAAACCTTGCATAAAATCATCCTCAGTCTCACCTCCTTTAGAATTTACCTTGTTTCCAGAAGAAGTGCAACTGTTAAAAACATTTCAGACTGAAATTGAGCGTATTGGAATACGCTTTGTGATCAGTGAATCTTCACAAGTCTCACAGGAGACAGTGATCCTTGTACATGGTGTACCATCAGTGTTTGTGGAGCGGGAGGTATCAGAAGTGAAACGTGGAAGGCCTTCAGTTGCCATCAGTAAAGTAAAGGTAAATGTAATGTTAATCACTGACATTCTTTCTACATTAATTTTATGTCTCTGTGGTATACCATATTCCTTGACTTTCATAAAGTATTTGAAAATGTTTGGTTGAAGTAAATGATGAATGTATATAAGTTAGATTGACTGTTGAATCAAGACTCCTGGTGCTTGGTCAAGGTACCAATGTCCATTTGAAGTCTAGCATTTATTTTAGCCGACCTTTTGTTACAACTGAGTGTTACAGACCTAAATTTGTGCTAATCATTTGGTGATCTTTACTTGTAACTGTATGAAAAAGTTCTGTAATGGAAAGAAAGTTGGCCTATCGTACTGTCCACTCCATTGTGACTGATCTTGAGTACTGAATTGTCTGCAACTTACTTTACCATTTATGACGATGGACAAAGTCACTGACAATCATAACAAAAAATAGTTCATGAAAGTAACCTTAGTAGTAGTATATGTAGCTCAATGCTCCTATCATTTCAAGCCAACGGAGACAGAAACCAGTGACATCTTAGATCTACATTTACATTTGCAAGATGATAANCGCCCCACAAATCTTGAGGCTTTTGAGTACAAAAGAGAGATTGAAACGTGTAATGTGAAGAAAAGTCTACACTCTTCCACTGTGTTTAGGTCAAAAAGGGAATGTGTGAGCCAAGAGAAAACTTCTAGCTGCATTGAGAAAGGGCTTTCAGATTTTTTACTTTCTGATAGAAAACTCAGTCACATCAATTGTGATGCTAAGGCAACTTCAAATGATTTTATTTCTGGAGATCTCACAGCTTTGGGTTCTGAGTCTGTTTCAAGAGTAGCAGTCTCAGATACTGTGACAGTAAATGTAGACAAACATTTCTCTTTTTGCACCAACAAAGATGCAAAACACTTGAATGAAAGTACAAAGCAAGTTGCTTGTAATGACAAGACAACATGCCATGTACCTCACACAGAAGGCTGTGCCTCAATTACTAAATCAGTCGCTGTCAAAGAGGTTCAAAATGAAACAGATGACATACGTGCAACTGCAGATCTTGTATGCGCATTGTCAGATGTCAGCAATTGTTGTGTTTTAAGTGACTTGGAACACATTTCTTCCAGTCATTCTGGTGATAATGGTGTCGGGCACCGTGCAACAACTCTTTTGAATGACCTCTCAAACAAGAATGGTAAAGGTAGAGTATGTACTTCTAGTACATTCACAAGAACTACATGTGATAAGGTCTTGGGTTCATCAGTCTCTGTTGAGAAACCTGACTGTCTGCCAGTAAAACGCAATGGATCTGGTTTTGTTCACTCAGCTAACCCGGAGAGATTTATACCTTTGTCAAGCAGAAGTCATGACCCAGAGCCCTCTGTTACATTACGTAGAAGGACTGAAACCTCTAGCACAAAGATTAACAAAGCAAGAACTTTCACAATGCCGGCATTCACTTCTCCACGCCCTATCACACTGAAAGGGCAGCGCACAAGAAAGAGACATCAGAGCAGCAAGGAAACATCTGTAGCTGAGCTGGCATTGCCATCAAAGAATAGAAAACTGATCACATTACACGGAGGCTGTCAAAGAAGAGTTAGAGGTGGTTGCAATAACGCAGGACAATTATTAGCTAATGTTAAGGATGGAGAAGGTAGGGATTGTGATACAAACTGTAGCCACAATACACACAAGCCTGAAGATAATTGTAGCAGTAAGCTTTCGGCAACCTCTGGTGATAATATTGTGACTCGAACTGGTACATGCACGTTGTCAAATACTGCCATATGCAACAGTGAAGTTAACTGCGATGCTTCCATTTCTGGTTTGTCTGTGCCAATTGACAAGACCTTTGAGACAGATCATTCTAACAATCTCATTCAACAATGTTTGGGAGATTCTGGGGACCAAATGTGTGGGACAAGATTTAGCACTGAAAACAAGAATTGTGAAGAACATGACAGTCTAAGCTGTGTGGGTTCAAACTTAAATGTTACTGCAAAACAAAGGAATGCACACAAACGTACAGAATATTTTGACTGTGCTCAGAAAGAGAGTGAAGGAAATGAAGTGTTTCTGGAGCAGGATGAAAATCATTGCTCAGTGATGGCAGAGTCAAACTCAGAGCCTAAATTAATATCAGTTGACAATAATGACATTGACGAAGGACCAAACTTTCCCAATGAGGACTGGCATTGTACATTTGATGTGCTACTTGGAAAAAAAGTCTTTATCAACACTCGAACTGGGCACTCGTCTTTTCAAGCTCCCTGCGGATTTAACATTAAAGATGATGACTGCTCTGGGCAGATTGTACCTGAAGCTAATGAGATAGCAAAACACTGTTCCCAGCACTTGCCACACCCATGTGCTTCCCACCTGTCATTTTCATGCACTCCATGGCTTCCACGAGGGGACCGAAGACGGCAAAAATCTGTTTGTGATGATGGAAATGGTGTTCTGTGTTCTCAAGGTATGTACACATAATGTCATTGGCAAATCTACTGTTTTGTAAAACTAATGGTAATACTTGATTTCTGACTTGACATGTATGCGATACATGTTATAAAATACTTTCAGTGGTAGATGCACTGGCCTAATGTTCAGTTGGACTTGAGGTCAGGTTCCTGTCTGCTGGTTGGGGTCACTGATTAGTGTTCTTGGGCAAGACACTTTACTCACAGTGCTTCTCATGGGTAAAAAAGGTTAAGTCTGCATATGAGTCAAGTGGCGCATCAGGCCAGAGCTTTTCCCGGTTTCTGTAGCATGAAGTGAGTATTTCAACTCCCCACTGGATGGGATGCTGGTACATCGCAGGGTTACCCCCAGCATTAAATTGGCTGTTACCCATTTGTACAGCTGGGTGGAGAGAGGCACCCTGAGTAAAAGTGTCTTGCCCAAGATCACAACACAATGTCCCCAGCCAGGACTTGAACCTGGATTGCTTTGTCTGGAGTCAAGCGTACTAACCATGAGGCCACAGCACCCTCAGGCTTCTCATAGTCTAGGTTTATAAATGAGTACAGTCAAAATGGAGATGAGACCTACCCAGAATCCTACTCAGGGAAAACCTACAAGGACTCATAACCTACCTTGGGGAGGGTCAGGGCCTCAGGGGTTTTTTGAGGCCTGTTTTTAGTATAAATAGTATCCCAAGTTGTGTGTGTAACTTGGTGAAGGATTCAGTTGTTCAGTTATCTTGCAAAATTACAGTGCAATCCCAGTTTGTAGACTTACTTTGGGGCACGGAATTCAAAGTGGTTTGAAAAATCACACTGGGAGGTTTAAAACATCAAGAGCATTTTTTTTCCTTGACACTTTTGCCAAGGAAAATAGTATTCATCTTGTAAGTTGCCTTAAGTAAATAATCAGGAGGTTGGAAAAAAGTTTGTAAACATGTACATCTAGACTACTTTGTCACTCCTTCAGACTTTCTCTACTTATTGCCCTGTTGCCTTCTCTTTCCCACCCTCTTCATTCATTGATGTAATATTAAGGTCAGTTTATCATTACAGACTTGCCTATGTCTCAGTTGAATGATCTATACAAGGAACACTTAGAACAGAAAGAAACAGAGGAAAAGCTCTGCAAATGGAAGGATGCCAACATGTTGCAAGCTTACGAACGAGATGTGTTAAATAACAGAAGCAAAACTGTGGCACAACTGCTCGGTTCTTGGCAGAATCCTGTGTTTACTGCACCAGAAAAGGTGAGATCACATCGACAGGAATGGGTAAAGTGGCACATGAATTAAAGCACTTACTTTTGTCAATGAGATCAAGTGAACACTACTGTGCATCACTTTGAGTAAAATTTCATTTTAAATGATGTTGGGCTTTTTCACACATTAAACCTTGTAAGTTCTCATTTGCACTGTCCCTACAAAGAGAATTTAACCATGGATAGTGCCTCAGTCATAATTATTTTTGATAATGGTCCCGCTGTGCACTGGATCTCTGGTCTTCAATCCTCCCTTCCCTTTGCTTTATTTCCTAAGACTACATTAATTATTTTAGTTTTCACGTTATTGCTTATTCTTGAAAATCAGTGTTTTTATTGTATATATCTTGCAAGGATATAATGAAGATCAACAAAGCAGCCAGCGATAAGACACAGGTCTTAGTTCACAACGTGGTTCACCCATATTGCTTCACAAGAGATATGCTGACAAGCATGCGAGTACTGCGACAGCTGGATGAGAAGTTTATTGTCGGGCTAGTTTCACAAGGAGGTGAGATTGTTTCCTTTAAGAGTGAACTTACCATGTATCCCCTATGTGTAAGCATGGAAAAGTGGAAATGTGGCAAATTTCCAAAGTTTGCATTGGGAACACTATGGGCCAATAACATCATTCAGTTCTACTGAAATCCTGAAAAAAAAACAATGCCTGATGGCAGGTTACATAATTACTGACTCAAAAAGAGGACATGTTTAAAACACGGAATAGTGAAATGATGAAATGGCATCAAGGATAAGAGTCAATGTGGGATACGGGTGTCTGTAAGGGTTAACCCAATATAGTTATTGAGAGCCAACTTCTGATACATGACTGTATTTAGGTTAACCTGAGTGCTATTTAGGCTAACGAAAGCACTATTGAGGCTAACTGTTAAGTGCCATTTTGTCATTTTGTTATTTCGCCATTTCATGTTTTAAACACACCCTCAAAAATGTGGTAATCATTTTGTGACTCACTTGTCTCCTTTTCTTCATCCTTGTAGGAGAAAACAATGGCTTGCTGGTGTTAGTGGATCAACATGCTGCTCATGAGCGAGTTCGATTAGAACATCTACAATCAGGTACGCACAGCTGCAAAACAACATGAATATTTCAAGGCAAGTTGCTGCAACCACCCTCAGATGTTTTGTCACTTATAATTTTTTGAGCTTATTTTTCTGTAAGATTTATTATTATATGTATGAGAGATTTGTTTTCTTTCTCTTCTGTGTTTCTTTCTTTCGTTTTCTATTGAGAGCAATAAATTGGAGTGTACATGTATGTTAAAGCGGATCTTTTATCAGAATCACAATTATTGTGGTGTACAGAATGTATTTCCAATCTGTGATAGTGGATTTTTGTAACAAATCTCTTATTCACCAAGCTTGCTTGGAACCCTTCAGGGAAATATATGTTTGCCCTTGGTCTTTTTGTTTGGATCTCGCTGTGCTCAGTCCATAATGTCAGGACCTCAGCCTGGTTAATATTCTCCCAGTACGGTTCTCGTGCTTGGTTAATAACTAGAGATGTATGTACTGTATTTTCTGTGTTAATTTATAGAACTCTTTGAAGATGATGATACAGGTATATGCTGGAATAGAGACAAACCTTGCATAAAATCATCCTCAGTCTCACCTCCTTTAGAATTTACCTTGTTTCCAGAAGAAGTGCAACTGTTAAAAACATTTCAGACTGAAATTGAGCGTATTGGAATACGCTTTGTGATCAGTGAATCTTCACAAGTCTCACAGGAGACAGTGATCCTTGTACATGGTGTACCATCAGTGTTTGTGGAGCGGGAGGTATCAGAAGTGAAACGTGGAAGGCCTTCAGTTGCCATCAGTAAAGTAAAGGTAAATGTAATGTTAATCACTGACATTCTTTCTACATTAATTTTATGTCTCTGTGGTATACCATATTCCTTGACTTTCATAAAGTATTTGAAAATGTTTGGTTGAAGTAAATGATGAATGTATATAAGTTAGATTGACTGTTGAATCAAGACTCCTGGTGCTTGGTCAAGGTACCAATGTCCATTTGAAGTCTAGCATTTATTTTAGCCGACCTTTTGTTACAACTGAGTGTTACAGACCTAAATTTGTGCTAATCATTTGGTGATCTTTACTTGTAACTGTATGAAAAAGTTCTGTAATGGAAAGAAAGTTGGCCTATCGTACTGTCCACTCCATTGTGACTGATCTTGAGTACTGAATTGTCTGCAACTTACTTTACCATTTATGACGATGGACAAAGTCACTGACAATCATAACAAAAAATAGTTCATGAAAGTAACCTTAGTAGTAGTATATGTAGCTCAATGCTCCTATCATTTCAAGCCAACGGAGACAGAAACCAGTGACATCTTAGATCTACATTTACATTTGCAAGATGATAACAGTGTCTGATTATTACCCATATTGTTTCTGTAAAGTTTTCAAAAAATGCGATAGTCTACATGTAATATTACATCTTTTGTCAAAAAGTGGCTAAGTTATTTTCCCTTTGATAAGCATTGACACAACTTAATGGGTACATGTACTTTCTTCAATGTATATTATGTTATTTTATTTCTTATTAGGGGCTGATCAGGGAGCATCTTGAAGTAAGTATTGACGGAATGTCAGGAGTTAATGGTATAACAGCGATTATGGATGAGATAGTTTGCATCATTAATTAAGGTGGCTGATATCAGTTTCCAGCTCTTATGCTCTGATGGATCAACACTGCCACTCTTTATTGGAAAATGCCACATAAAGATGTCAAGCAAGCAGTTTTACCAGTCATTGGTGGACAATGAATCCCTTCCTCAACTTGTTCACAAGTGATTGGGCATTTGTTTGTCAGAAACCAGGAAAAATGTAATTAAAACTTATTCCTTGAAAATACACTTAAAATTTTCAACTTTTACAATCAACAAGGGGTCTAGTTTACATGTAAGGTTGAAGTTGTAGAAATTTGTGTTCTGGTGCAAGAGGCTTCTCCTGCATAGTACCTCTTGCAAACCAGGAGGATCAGTGGGCATCTGCTTATTGTCAGGGCAACCAGACAATTATGTTAGGAAGTAATTACCTGTACTCCTAGTCACACGATATAAAAATCACTAAACACCAGCAGCGTGGGCTACTTTACCAGCTGAAATTGTTAACACTTATGTGCACTTATTTTGTTTTGACAGATATCATTATCTGCCCTTTGAATGACCAGGGCTGGGTGTTTCTGTTAATTAAAACTGAAATATTTTTATGGTCGAAAACATTTAAATTGTACATTATACAATGAGTGACATCTCTTAACCCTTCTTAACAGCATCTTACAAGCACACATGGAGTACCAGCAGTGATTCCTAAAGTCATCTCTCAAGTGATCAGCTCCCAGGCATGCCATGGTATAAAAACCACTTACACCTGTCTTGTTTTAAACTATTCTCCTGGCATCTTTGTTTCTTACATGTACATGTGTATGCAACTATGCAAAGGTCAAATGTCAGTGTACCACCTGTACATGTATTTTCAAACCTTAATAGCAGAGCTCTGGCAGACCAAAGAGCTGCCAAGCAGAGCACCATAAAGTTCTGTAGGAACAGAACCACATGCATGCCTAAAATTACAAAACCATTCAACTCTTTTTTCATGGACAACATGGTTAGCAAAAAATGACGAGGACGTCGCACATCAATGTAGCCATACTCCAACTAATTGTGATTTCATCCTTATTTAAACCTTAGGTGTCTTTTGTTGTTCAGGTGCTGTAAAGTTTGGGGAGCCTCTTGGTAGAAGTGAGTGTCAGGAGCTAATCAAGTGTCTGTCCAAGTGTCAGTTACCTTTTCAGTGTGCTCATGGCAGGTGAGTGGAGTGACCATCTTATCGCTGATCCTTTTGATGCCCCAACCTGTTTGCATGGTGGGTGCAAAAGCAACAACTGTGAAGTACAAGGGAAATGAGGGGTGATTTAGAGGGGTTTTCAAGTGAGTATTGTTAAACCAAACCCAAAATAATCACTCTGACCAATCACAAAGGGCACAGACAATCCAGTGAACCAATCAGAACTTAAAATAATTGCACATTCATGTAACTGACATAAACGGGACGTGTACAAATGAGTTACGATTGGTTTTGGTTTTACCTCTGATTGAATGGAAAAGTGACGCATGTAGCATAGTTGATACAAAACCAATTGCTTTTCGACACTCAAATGAAAACCACTCTTGACTAATGTTAGTTGGTTTCACCAGTTCACAAAAAGGAAGTAAATTTCAGTTTCAGGAGGCCTTTGATATTAGAAAGTGTCTGCAAGATTATGTCAGTTTTGATGCTACAGGACATACACTGTAGCTTGCTTGTTATAATATTTACAATTTCAGTTCATGTAGATTTATAACTACATGGTTTGGTGTTGTTTCCACAGGCCCTCTATTATACCACTGGTTGATCTCAAGTTCTTGGGAAGCAAAATGAACTTCGAGGTAATTATAGGAAAGAGTCAGTGGAAATGGAAACACATGCTAACAATAAATTATGCACTACAAGTGAAAATGTGAGAAAGGAAAGTGTACACTTGTTGCAAACGAATTTAGTCCTTGGATCTCAGTAATTTGGGGTGTTTTGGGCCTGTTCTGTTCAGGCTACGAAATAACCTTTGCTCTCGACAACAGTAAATGATCCCTTTAATGATCTGAAGAAAAACTAGCACTAGCTTCGAACAATGAGTACAATTCTTCGAGCGAAAAGCACATGTTCTGGCACCCCATAACATTAAGACAACAAATGTCCCCAGTAGGGTGGCTACATTACAAGTCTAGTCTCACAGGGGGTCATGATGCTCTTCCACAGCGGCTCCTGGCCCGAACAGGGGGTGCAATCAAGCATTCTCAGCCATAACCGGTGTGTTTTAGGTTACAGCCCTTAATGATGACCCTGCTTCATACTAGTATGCCAACATGCTCTCCTGAAGACAGACTGAATCTTCTGGTGTGCAGCATGGGTTGCTAAACCTTCCAGGCACAAAAACACTGCAATTACAAGTCATGCAATGTAGTTTCCAACTGATTTTGGCATTATCTTGGGCACTCTCACTGGTAATCTTTAATCAGCTTTATTGGGAAGATATATGTACAACTTTATCTAAAATCATAACAAATGAAAAAAAGAGAGAGAATAGAGAATAATCTCAAAAGGGAGCACATGAACGTGGAATGAGTACCCTTGCAGGGCACTTCCCAGTAATGTGGGATGCTGATGACGTTTATTCCATGGAATTTGTGGACCATTTTACTTGTTGTGTAGGTCATGTTTAGGCACTGAGAATCAAGACAATGCATCTTTGAGCAACGTTGACAATCTCCCAGATAATTTTTGAATTTTGGATGGTATCTAGAACTAATAAATTTGTTTAAACCATTCTAACTTTTTGTTTCTTTCAGGAAAATGAGGGTCGATCACGGCTAGCAAAGCTGCACATCACCAGATCATAAGACAATTAGTAAAAAACACTATGACTCAATAATGACAAGACTTGGCATCGTTGCTTTTTTACTCACTGTTTCTTGCTGGAAAGGAACAAAAAGGAATGGGAGGGTTGGTTTATTAGAGAGCATCTTATTTAGCTGTCTTCAAAACAGCATTACTGTATTTTTAAGAATCTTCCATGAGGTATGCAAAGTTTTGCAGGCTCTTATAGACCTGAGTTAGACGTGCAGCAAACAGACTATAAAAATACCGTGTGGACTTGTTTTCAACTTAGAGAATGCATCATTTTATTTCACACTAATTTCAATTTTGGTTAATTATCATATTGACAGTGTTACCTGCCATGATCTTTTAATTGTTATTTTATTATTACTTCCTTTGGTATGCTTATGTGCCAGTAATTTAATGTACTGTACATGACCAAACCATATTTTCTCCTTCTTTCTTCCCACACTCTATATTCTCTTCACATTTTTGTACTTTTTTGCTGTACAACAGTTGGAAAGGATTTTGAAAAAGTATGTTTTATTATCATTGAGAAAAATGTTGTTTTAGAAGAAGAAAGCTGGCTCTTTCCAATAAATGTTGGTACATTAAAAAATTGACCACACTACTGTATGTATGTAAGGCTCTTTTTTAAAAAGCACCAAATCACCCTAAAATGAACAACAATTTAATATTTAACCAAGGTGCGAAGGTGTGAATAGGGATTAATACATGTAAGTCAAAGAAACAAAGTTGATTTAGACTGTCTAATCTTGACATGGATTACAGAATGAAGAACTTGCAAAATTGTAGGCTATATCTGTGGCAACAGAAGCACTTCAGGGTCGGGTTATTCAAAGCCCAATTAAGCTAACCCAGGATTGGCAAGAATTTTGATTACAGTTCTGTAACCTTTTTGGTGAGGTTTCCTATTGTTGATCCTTCAGTTTGTGTTTGAATAATCTCAAACCTGAACTATACAAAACAAAACCAGGGGAAAACAATTTTACAAAGGAAAAATGAATACTCATACTTTTATTCGTGGGTAGCGTTAACCATCTTTCAAACAACAATCAATTTCAATGAATTCGTTGCTTCAAAAATTGCGAATAAATTTGCTGGTTGAAAATTGAGTGTTTTTTGGCACTTATACTGGTGAAAATTCCATACGTTTTGGGACCAGCTGTTGACCTGAGCATATGTGATTAATTTTTTATTCAGATGTGCACATGTCAGTCAGTCAGTCAGTCAGTCAGTCATCAGTGCGTTCATCCATCTGTCCATCCGTCCGTCCGTCTGTACATGTGCGTCCCCAGGGGGTACTCCCAGAAAAATTGGTGGTGGTGTCTCAGGAGTCAGGCAAGCAGGTGGGCAAGTGGGTGGTCATTCAGTTGCTCAGTCGCTCAGTCAGTCAGACAGATAGTCAGTCACTTAGAATAAGAACACCAGTAAAAAGTGGTCAGATGTCAAGTATTCTTTATTGCATTGATGGCCTTTTCTACAGCAAGGAACAAGCTAGTTCCTCTACTGAACTAAGATGTATCCCATGGCTTTAATGTTTTTGGGACCATTATCTGCAGTATAACCCTTAATAGCATTGTTTCCGCATGTGTTGGAGTCATCTGTCGCCCCTCCTGTTCCAAAACCAATTTTGGAATCACAAGTGTTGCAATTTCTCTGGTCATTTCCAAGGATGCCGATTCTTGCTCTAGCATAAGATTTAGAACCTCCAACATTATTAAACCCTTCGTTATTACACTCAGTCTGCAATGAGGCTGAGGAGCCAATCAGAGACTTCCATGTGCTACGACCCAGTGAGGTTTTGCGGTATTTCCCATCAGCAATCAGTGAGTACAGAGAGTTCGCCTGCTTGGTCATGGTGATGAACTTGATCTGTTGGCTGATCTTCATACCAAGACAGATCTTAGAGAAGGGTGTATTCCAGTAGGTCGGTAACTTGGTCTCTTGTAGGTCAAAGCCAGTCTTGCCTCCTGGAAGATTATAAGCATTTCGGTTGCTCCAAAACTGAGAATCATAGTGGAATGTTTTCTAAAAAACAATAAGAATGTGTTACCTAACTGCAGTTTGTTAAGGTTACCGGTAGAATATAATAGAGAGTTGCAGACCTTTGCGCCATCAATTTTCATGGCCAGCGTCCATCCTCCATCTCCACATCCAAAGTCTCCCATGTGACAGTAAACAGGAATCTCTTGTGAACCAAACTTCAGTGGAAGCACTTGACTTTTTGTCCACCTGTGTGCAGTCAAAGTGATGGTGGTTAACTCATCCATTTAATAGGCCTTTTGCAAAAGTTAGTCACATTACCTAATTTCTGTGAAGAAAGAGCCTGCAGAAATGAATTTTCATTCAAATTTTCAGACCAAAAATTATTTCAAAAGGGAGTGTGCATGTGAAAATAAAGGGATTTGTTTAAGCATCGCCATTTTGTCACGGTCTAGTGTTTCTCATCACAAGTCCCTCAAAGTTTTTAAATGTTTAAACTACCACAAAATCCAATCCTAAATGTGGCTAACTGGGCTCCCATTCTCTATGATGGTTAATTTTAAACCTCCTGATCTTTCAATTTTTTGCTGTTACATGTGTATATGTAGCACCCGTGTCTCTTTTTTAGAGATTTTAATTTAACAGACATACGGCATTATAGTAAATTTATTTAACTACAAGGTCCTCTCACTTTCACACAAAACCTTCAAATTTCTGAAATGTTCAAACTGGCATAAAATGTCACTGTTTCACAACACCAGTCTGAATGCTTCTTTCTGGGCAACTGGAACATGCTCCTAATAATTGGTCACGTCACTAAGTTTTGTAAAAGGCCTATTAAAGTACAGTAGCCATCGAAAAGTGATTTCATCATAAAAATGATACAGGTAATGAGTGAAAAGAAATGCATTTCAATCAACTTCTAATGGCTGGGTATTAGGTGGGTATTTGTTTGAGCTTTAAGCCAGCAGGTGGGGAATTTGAAGTGCATGCCTGGGGCAGGCATTTATCCACCCATGGGACAACCCTGGGGCATTTGGCGCCTTTGTGGTTTTGGTCTTGCTCTTGAGTAGTCAAACATGTTATTGCTCAATTGTCTTGATCAAATGCGGATCAATGGGAATAAATTGATTTTAGGCCTATGTTATGACATGATCAGTTTCACAAAAGTCTTTTCACTTCTTTTTCTTCTTTTTTGAATGTAGAATCACGTATTTAAGGATTTTTTTTAACATTTACATTTTAATATTAAATTGTCTAAATTTACCAATTTGAATTTACCCAATGAAATGTGCTTGTACAAAATAATAAACCGAAAGCAAATGCAGGTAATGTTGTTTCAGATTCCTGCATTTTTACATTTTCACCCGTTGTTTTCTTTTGGAGACTGATGTGGGGCATTTGCCGTCTTTTTTGTTAGTAAGTTTTGCGTGGGGGAGTAGGCACTGCTAAAATTGACAGATGCATCTCTCAACATTACAGTATTTGCTCTCTACATTATGGTTGTTTTTCATTGTTGGAATGGAAACGTACCCCCTGTCGAGTGCACAAAATTGCGCAGAATTTAAGTCGCCCTATGGACGTATTGCGTGCCTGTGTAACGCATTGTTTTGGAAGCGCAGCAATGAAATGAGTGCGTCAATTGAGAACGCGCTTTTTAATTTTTCAAATAGACATGGAGGGAAATATTGATTTAGAACCCAGGGTCGGGTTGTTCGAAAGCCGGCTAACGCTAAGTTATTTTAACTGAATGTATTAATTTTTCTTGGATACAAATGCTTTTCACTGTAGTTTGAAATTATTCAAACTCAAAACAGAAGGACAATTAAAGCAAATAAACAGAAAAACTTATCGAAAAGTTGCAAATTAATTTTAAAATCGAAATTCTCTCTAACCCTGAGTTAACTTAACCGGGTTTTGACCAAACGGCCCCGATTTTTACGAAGTACCAACTTCGAGAGCTGGACAAAACCCGCGGGGTTAAGGAAGGATTGATCAGGTCTGTAATAAAACCGTAGTGAGTTTGAAACAAAATATAAGGTGTAAACCAACTTACTTGTATTTTTCATACTGTTGCTTACATGAAGAAGCGGGAACAGCTGCAAAGAATATAAAACTCCGGTTATTTTCGAAATGCGTCAATCCAAGAATAGGTTGAAAACATGCTGGCAAAATTAGATTTCTTACCTGGATGTGAAGAAGGTTTCTTGATCACTGAAGTAAGGCTTTCCAGTTTTGTTTGCAGCATTTTCATGGCATTGTTGGCGTCCGAATCGTGAATCATGTTACAAATCAGGTTACAGGCCGTCATCTTGTCGTATGGTTTGGGGCAAGATGGGGGAGATTTGTCAGCATTCACGCCCAGTATAATCGAGATTGCGATAAAACAAGCTCGAAAAGACAAACGCATTTTGGCGTTTTGTAGAATAACGTTTTGCTCCACAAGGGAATTGTGTGAAGTCTTTCTTGTGACTCATAGTTTTGCCCCTGTTTATGTCTAAGGAGCTATTGTCTACAAACCCGATAATTTTCTTGCTTGCGGCCCTCGTCCAATGAACTTAGTCCAAGTTTACCCGGAAGTTTGCTCTGTGATCACACGCTCGTGTCAGTGTTTGATCGCCCTGTCTGTTTCGTGCGTGACTTAATTTGCGTAAGTTTTGCTTGCACTCACACTGTCACAGCGTGAAGAAAAAGGAAATTTGTAGTCTGAAGATTAATCTCCGAGCGGTTTTCCTTCATTAAAAAACTAGAAGTGAGCTGAGTTAGAATTAAGGCCTTCATAACCTCATTTTCAATATTGGAGTGGTGGGAGAGGGGTGTTTAAAAGAACACAAACTGACAAAATGGCACTAAGGGTAAGATTCGATGGGGGATACGGGTGTTTGTAAGGGTTAACTTAACCCTTACAATGATTGAGAGCTAACAACTGTCGAGTCAGTCATATTTAGGCTAACTAGCTATCCAGCCGCTATTTCTAAAAGTTAACGGGAGCGCAATTTAGGCTACCCCCTAGTGCCATATATTTCGTGCTTAAAGAGAGGATACAGCCAGGGAAATACATCTGGGCCGAGTTATTCGAAGCTCGATTAAGCTAACCCAGGCTTTTCGGTGAGCTTTTCTGTTTATACTGCTTGTCCGTCGGTTTTGAGCTTGTGTAATCTCAAAATACGCAAGACATAAGCACTCAAAAGCAATTTTATTCAAGAAAAATCAACACTTCGGTTAAACCTTACTTCTGGGTCAGAGTTAACCGGCTTTCGAACAAGCCGGCCCAGGGCGGTGGGACACATCCACAGATAACAAATCACACGTGACACCGCCGCTCTCATGATATCAGAGGTTTCCTTCATACGTGGCAGAAAAACTTCGCCAGTGAACCCTGCTAATGAATCGCTAAGCAACACGCTATTAGAGACGGTAGCCGCTTTCGGGCGTTCAAATAGTTGGGGCACGGCGCGTATTGGGGAATATTGGCCAGTACGCGCTGTGTTGCTCCCCAGGGGCGGATCTAGGGGTAGGGAGTGCAGGGGGTGCCACCCCCGTAGCCCGAGCGTACCGACGTCTGCACAAAAACTGCCGAGAACCAAAAGTCTCCAGTATGGCTGTAGTCTTGCTAAGGATCGCTAGGAATCATTCCGTCAAGAAAGTGCAAAAACTGATCGAGCGGAGATTATTAGAATGAGAAATATGACATATTTCTATCCATAAATGCATGTCACAACTCAGCTGTGGCTTAAAGTATAAACTTGCAGCTATTCACTAAAATCCCATGATTGATTACAAAATGGTGGCCCTCCTTTCGCGCGAATGGTTGAGAAAAAAATAAGCAACGCCAACGTAGGATGAGCAATTTTCCTACGTTGTGCCATTACTTTATTACTAATCGCTTTTACAAACTTGAATCATGTTTTAATAATAATAATAATAATAATAATAATACAATAATAATAATAATAATAGTAGAGCGGTTTTCAATTGAGTGTCGAAAGTAATTAGACAATTACTTTGGTTTTGGTTTTGGTTTTGGTTTTAATACGGTTTGAGACTGGCTGAGTAGTCTAATTGGTAAGTGCTTGGTTTGGTTTTGGTTTTACGACACTCAAATGAAAACCGCTCTAATAATAATGATATCGCTTTGATGAACCACACGATGTTTTTGAAGTTCATTTTTTAATGAAGACAATACATGTTTCGGGTGAGACATCATCCATCGTCAGTTGTACAGTGAGAAATAAATTGAAACTATATGCAATAAATAGTATGACAAAGTGAGATAATAACAAGAATAATTAAGGATGAAGGCGCGAACTAAAAAGGGGGTAAAATTTACGCGCGAACGTGCTTTGAAAGGGATAAATTAAGATGTTTGACCTGGGAATTTAAAGACGGCTGCTCCTAAAGGATGTGCATGGCTTTATACAGGCAGATTGCTTTATACCACGTGTAAAACAAGTGACGTTACAGGGAAAATTTGAGCACGCACCTGGAATATTCCGCCTCGAGATTCCTCGAACAAACAAAATTTAGAACTTAAAAAAGCGAACAATGATCCGTCCATTTCTGGTTAAAGCTCCCCTCAGCCGAATTACTCCATAGTAATACCAGGTAAGTAATCAGGAAAATTCGATTTTCGTGATGACCCCATCTTTGGCCACCTGCTCTGTTTTGTAAGACAATAATTCTTAAAAGAAAAAAACAAATCAATATCAACCAATTTCCGTTCAGAGCTATCTATTCTTTGCGCCGATGCATTCATTATTCATTGCTTAGTAATTTTGCATAGACGGTTGATTGTCTTAAAAACAATGAGCAATGATTTCCATAGCTTAGTGCTAATTATTGAAGCTCACGTTGGGTCACAACTTGGCAACAAAAATTGTCAGACCACTAAAATAAATGCAATGTCAATTTCAAAGAGTTAAATCCTTTGGATAAGAACAAAAATTTCAAAGTTCTGTCACAGTACCGGTGTATTCATAACAATAGTCGTGTTTTTGTGGCGACTTCCAATTAAAAAAAGGCAGTGCCAATGTAGATTATATTTTGGAAACTTGTTGTTTACTCGAAATCACAATTAACGATACGAACGTTCTATGACATTCCGATGACGTACCTCATGTTATCATTATTGTCGAGCGCGGAAGAAATTTTAAACATGACATACAGATACATGACGATAGGTTTTTCCCTTGCGACTGTAAATTTCTGAATGAACCGTGACACTTGGACTGAAACTTGGGGAATCTTCATTGCTCTGGAGAGCACTGCTTTGCCTGCGGGAACAGAAACTCGTCACGATTTCCTGGTACACGAGGATCTACTTCAATGGTCTTCACTACGGACGCCAAGGAGGAGACATAACTTGGTCCAACGGCAGTTTATTCCGCACTCGTCAATAATAATCTTCGTAATACAGTGTGATCGAAAAGCTTTACAAATGCACTCTCTTATATATCACCATTTACACATTAAGTGTTTACAATTAGAACAATGCAACATACAATACGAGCGGAAAGTACTTTAATTAAGATAGCGAATTTTAATTAACACCATGAAGTTTCCAAAATTAAAAATAGAAAGCTAAGGTTAAAATTCACAGGTTGAAATTAAGATAGAACTGGCAAACTTCAGAAATTGAAAGTAAGATACTTGATTTAAATTTAAATTTAATCCCAAAATTGTAAGATAATGTTTGAGTGATGCCAGTAACGATAATTAACTCGTGAAATAGTTAAATTATGTTTAGAGCTTATGTTCAGCTGGTTGTTTTCCAGTTACGCGTGAAAACTCAAGGAAATTGAAGACAGGTTATCTCTATATAATATATATAGAGAAATGTAAATGAAAAAAAAAAAAAAGATTAAATACTACTTATGTAATTTCTTTTGCACTAGACAATGATGACATGAGGTCGTCGAAACATCATGTAACCTTCTTATCCGTTATATTCATTTTACAATGTTTTTCTAAATCGATCCTTATTAGATGCTTAGTTAACAAGTTTTTTTTTTGTTCGAATTAATTCATAGACACAACCCTATTAATAATAAAACGACATTTGAAGTTTACTAGTATTTACAGGAAGTTTAGACAAAGTCGTGACATTGAGGTCATTCTGCTGATCACGAATGTATTCGTCCTTTTATCAGCGAGTACTTTTATCTGGTTTTCGTGTCAGGTATTAGATGATACCTTCTGCGACGCCACTCACTTGGCCGGCCTTCAACGGGACCCAAACGAACAGTGCAGATACGCACAATTCATAAACATTTTTATCATGTTCTGGACTTTGCAAAAATCGAAGGAGTCGCCGTTCAAACGGAAATACAATGCCTGTTGCGATGCGTAAGGAACGGTCGGTGCTTTTCCGCAAACATTGGAGCTTTTCATCCACCAAACGGGAATATATGATTATATCGTGTGACTTACTTCCAACTGACAAATGCAATGCATCTGAGACGTTCAAAGCGAATTATACTTTCCATCACTACAGTATTACGGTAAGTACTAATTACGTCTATAGTACTGAAATTTGCTTTGAATCCAAATTTTGGTACATAAGTGGAGTTCATACGTTTTCTACAACTAGGCGAGTGTTAAATTACTGCAGTATCAAATTACCTGACATGTGCCGCACAAAAGCCCTGCGCACCAATCTCTTTTACTTTTAATTTTTTGAACTGAATTAGGACTTGAAATAGTATACTAAAACGTTTGTGACAAAATACCATGCTTGTAAGTTAGCATGTAAATAATTAGGATCTTATACCGGCTTTTAAGCCGGTATTCTGGTATGTAACCTGCACAGATAACGTCCCTTTCTTGGTCCAAAAATGGACTCCATCACCAGGGGTAACTTCATAATGAGTTAATTTATCTGAACCTCTATTTTTTTCTATTATTTAGTGATCAGTTTTTCCAGTGAAGCAAATTTGACGGTAATGCAAACAGTAAACGTGGATGTGACGCGTGCTTCTATCAAACCGCATCTCCCTAAATATCCTATAAAGTTAATTTTAGTCAGCTGACAGAACTTTCTCTTTATCCAAATAAAAACCACCAGTTTATAATAAACTTGCTCCTCTTGACAACAACACGGTGCTAATACACAATCAGCACAGTCAACTGAACTCACTGAATCGTTTAGGTTGAAGTTATCATTTTTTTTTAGAAGACGAAATGGTTTTCTTTTATTCAGTATGACACAGAAAAGGTAAAAGAAAATTTTCTGAATACTTAGGACATCCGAAGACATCCGAGGATCCTCCAAAGTTTCACAAATATGTTCTAAGAAAACCCAAAAGTATTCAGTAACTTCGCAGTAATTTTGCGTTCTCTGTAAAACAGGGCAAAAATTTCTGAACTTCTGCTTTACTGCACACTTTTTTCCGCTCTTTAATTGGCCGGATATTTTGTTGAAGCTTAGTGGACCATAGTAGCTCTCTGCTCTAAAAGTAATATGCTTAATTGTTCTATTCTGTATTTTGGACTTGAAAGTATAAGTTGAGGGAACTTGCGAGTTGAATCTTCTGCTGGTGCTTGT